GTGAAAAATTCCCAGTTTTAGCCCCAAAATGCATGTAATGATGGAAATTTAGGAAATGAATGTAGATATTATTGCTTGTTGATATACCTAGAAAAATAGGAAATTACTTCATAGCTGGCCTTCAAATGTGATCATTTTGGGTCTGGTTTCACAGCAAAACTTGTGCCAGAAAGATGGAATTAATTTTAGTCATTTTTGACCAAAGCTAAGTCAGCAGAAGTCTACAATGGAAAACTGCACCTGTTTTGTAAATAAAAAGAAATAAAGCTCACATTTTAGACCAATAGTCACTTTATTTTTATGAAGTAAAATAAATTTATCCTGAATTGAAGAAGACTTAAATTTTCCAGTCTTAAAGTTAAGACTGTCTTTCCATCATAGTCTTCTTGTCAAGCCTGCTCCAGAACTGAGTACTAATGTGGTAGAGAGGGCAGCACACCCAGTGGGCAAAATTTTGGCACCTCCAGGATTAAGTGCAATGTGCCCTCCTGGTAGAAGAGGAACAACTAACAGAGTCTGGCACTTTGCTGACATGTTCAGGCAATGGCCTCAGTTTACCTGGAACAAGTTGAAGACTCAGAGGCATTTCTGTATTGATAATGTGTCCATTTAATACTATAAATAGATCTAGGTTGTATCACCAGGAGACAGCATCACACCAAGGCACTTGAGGTCTCTCTGGCTCAGAGTTGCAATTTGCGCAACTTTTAGATATCTTTAACTGGATGAAATACTTGGTGTCCAATATTTACCTGCTCCTGTTGTTTACCCTTCGAACCTTTTTTGTTCAACCCTCTATCTCTCCCTCATTCTCAAGTCTCTCTCTCTCTCTCTTTTTCCACACACACACACACACACTAACATACATGCACGCATGCGCATGCACACACATATACATACACACGGTCCCAGTTAACTGCTAGAAGATTAATGCATTTACAAATAGTTAGTGGGTACATTTGCACCTCTAGATTATAGTTTTGTATTTTATTTTATACAAATCAAAGCTACACCTGTGATACAATACATTGAGGAGACACTCATAATAAGATTCTATGGAAGACAGATATTCTAGTCTGTCATTAACACATTGTTGGCATGTGTGTGATAATGGCGTGGACATGTGTGTGATAATGACGTGGACATGCTGCCCTGCATCAGACATAAGCCCTTTAAGACAGTTCTAGGAAAGAAGTTGATTGAGTAAGTTAATTGAATTCAAAATCTGGTTTTCAAATCAATACACACAAAGTGGACCATCTGACATGCCACATTCACACATTCCCATTATAATTATTATTTATGATAGCTATAATTATTTATCAATTATTAAATATTTCTATCAAGAATTTCTTGGTACTTGCAGACAGGTAGGATGAAAAAAATCAACCCACCATAAATTTATTAGTGGAGTTTAATAATGAACTGTCAAATGTTGCTGTGCCTCATTACCCAAAGATCCAATAAAGGGCTGTCTGCAGCTGTGGAGAGTGATGCTATCTGCTTGATACACACCAGAATCCAGACTATCAGGATTTGTCAGTTCCTCCCCTCCCCTCCCTTCATATATATATCAGCTCCCTTCTTCATCAACTCCTAGATTTTCATTTCACACCAGATAGCAACAGAGGAGAGCAGTGTGTGGAGGTTTGTTATTAAAAGCAAATGTGCTTCAGTTTGTTTTATCATCTGGTGGACCTGTGAGTCTCTCCTCCTAGTCTGCTGGACTTGTGTTTTCATAGAGTTGGGCATCTGAGGCCAGTGGCATAAGTCCAGATTGGACATGTGGTATTCTTTAAAGATGTCCTGTGTTTGAAACAGTCTTGAGGATGAGCCAACATGTTGGAGTTGTTATGATATTAGAATGAAATTCTTGTTGAAAAGGAGCTGTAGTAGTCATTGATGACTCCTTAACCTCTGCCCTCTGACCTCTGACCTGCTACAAGAACAGAGGATCTGATTGGCTCATATGTAGATGGTGCACCCAAAAAGGAAAGCAGTCCCAACAGCCCCATGTGAAATCTGACGCCTGCAGCTGCTCAGAAAACTTCAGCTTGGGTTTTGCCGGTCCCAAGTTATTTATAGACCAAACCAGCACGATGGCTCGGTGGTAAAAGGTACATGGGGTTGGAAGTAGAATTCCTGCTCAGCTGATTCCATTTCACTGGACTTCTTTACACTGTGGATATAAATATTATATATTATTTCGAGGTTCAAGTTGAATTAGTTCAAGACTGATAGAACAGACTTTAGGATTTGATGGTGTGAAGGATGTTCAAGAAGATAAAAGAATCGTGGGTAAGTGGTTATAGGCTAGAGAGTATGCAGAACACATTGTCAAATTTCTGAAGCGAGCAAGGTCAGTTTGACTGATGCTATTTGTGTACTATAGGTGTGAATTTTTTTTTTCATGGTAATAAATAGTAACTGATCAGCTTCACCTTGATAATGGACCAAACTTGAAGCTGTAGAGGGCTGAGGCAGGGTGAACCTTTGGTCTGTGCGGCATATCACTCTTGTTACCTCATCAACACATAGCATTGCATGGTTTTCTCATTTAGAAGGAAAATCCATTAGTGGCCTTGGGAAAGTTTGCTATGAGAAGGCTTTCAACTATGAAAAACAACAGCTCATGTGGCTGTATGTATAATTTCCAGCAGTTTCAACTGTGGACAACTGGATTTACTTGTCTGTGTAATAACGATGTCTCTGACCAAACCCCCACTAACCCCCTCCTGCCCCCCCCCCCCACCTGGTTCTCCTGGGTGTTCTCCTCAACAATATCCTTATACTTACTCACTTGACGCTCTTACCTCTAACTGCCATACATTTTATGTGGTGAACAGTTAACTGGTATATTCCACTTAAGGGCTTAGCATTTTTTTGATAAGATTATTAATTTGTCATATTAGAACCCAAATTTCTTTGTCACATAATTAAATTTTTATCATTATATTCTTGTTATCAACTGGGCTAATTTTCTGATGTGCTTGGGTTAAATATTTTAAGGCCTTTTTAAATGAAATAATAGTTTCATTTTAGCTGTGACTGGCACTCCCAAGTCACATGTATCACAGCGGTATGTTTTTGTTACAAATGACAGAAAACATCCTTCTATTTCTTACAACATGTAGCAATGGAGAACATGATAAACATTGACACGTGGGTAGTTTTGGTTTGTCATGGTGGCTTCTTAGCTCAGTATTTCAGTTGCTGCTTATTCTTATCAAATTTTAGAGTTTTCCAGTTTGGTCCTTGGAATGTCAAGTGTTACATTAGAGAAAAAAAAATCAAAAATTGCAGGAGGCAAGACCATGTAACTCCTCATTACTCGCCATTTGAATCAAAGTCATGTTGAAATGTTTAATAAATTTGGCAGGTCACAAGAGCAGCTTTTGGAATTACATTCCTTTGAACCTGCCATTAGAGAATCATTAAGTGGAGCTACTTTGGCTAGGTATATGCTATTAACTGATCACAGTGTTTCTTGCCACTTTGCTTCAGTTCTATCAATGCTAAATGTTTAAAGTAATGGTATCTCCAACAGGTTAGCTCCAGCACACTGTAGTTCTTACTGGTTTCAACTTTTAAATATTTTTAGATAATATTTTATAATGTGCAAAACTAGACCCTTTAATTTTAATGTTTGCAATGCCAGTGGTCAGTTACAGTTCTACCTGTCCATCCCAACCAGTGCAATACCTATCCAGCCAACTGCACACTGGGTGCAGCAATTAACTGGGGTATTACTCAGGGATTACATGTGCTTTTGTAATCTGCGCAACTTTAAGTAAAAACTGATGAGAACTGAACTTCTGGGTGTCAGCATACCCCTAGCATGTAAGATTGATAGGTTTTAAAAGGTCCAAGTCTACTGCATATTAAGGTTCCAGCTGTTATAGCAAGGAGTAGAGCTGTGTTCAGACAATGACCACGTGAGACTGAAAACATGTCTAACTTGTGTTGTCAGAGGACCAGATTACAAATAGAGAAAATAAAGTCTCTTTTATCCATCATCTGATGATGCAAGTTAGTTTGGTTTCGGGTTTAAACAGCCTTGTCTGAAGAGACCTTTGAGCACTTTTTATGCTGGCCACGGTATAATGCAGTATAAAAAGATTACTCGGTGACTCACTCTCGCAGTCAAGGGAATTGTAAAATACATAATATCCGGGCAAAGGAAATGGCAGACCCACACTTTGACCTATATCACAGTAGTAGGGATAGTGGACAAAATAACTCTTGTACAGGCTAGACCATTATTTTATTCAATACAGAACTCTCTGAAACTTGAAGTAGTTTATCTGGCATGGCCCGGGGACTGAGTCACTTAAAGAAGCATGTTGTCAAATTAAAAGTCCCATGTTAAGGGTTCTGATCATGGTGAAGATAGTAGACTTGTTTTTTTAAAAACCAGGAGATCAAGTGACACATTACATCATAGGTTAATTGTTTTATTTCAGGATCAGTGGCTATATATAACTGGAAATTCTTGGAAATTTCTTTGAAATAATGCTCTTTTACTTATAAACACCAAGTTTTCTTGGTATTAAAAAATGGAACATAACAGGTCTTGTGATGAAGCATGAAATATTTTCTGAATTTGTCTATAGACAAACTGCCCATGTTACAAGGATTCCTGCTGTCATTTAATAGTGTCGATTAAAAGGGTGATTGGTTGTTGTGAAAACAAACTACCAGAAATGCAGAGTTCATCTTGAAGGAGAGAATATTTTCTTCTCACCATTTGGCTCATTTACACTAGCAAAACTGGCTCTAGCGAATTGCGTACCAGATTTGCATCAGTTTGTGCCTAACTACCTAGGGGAAAAAAACTGATGACATTTTTTTTGCAGCAATTAGATTTCAAAGAGACCTGCAGATGGTTAAATTCTGGCCTAATGGTTTCAAAACATTGGCATTAGGTGTGCACCAGTAATTCTGTAGATATTGATTGAATGTAAATGCTCCTATTGACTCCCTATTTCTTCTCGTTTCAGACGGATGGCAATGCAAGCTTCTTGCGGGCTGCACGTGCTGGTAACTTAGAGAAGGTCTTGGAATATTTGAAAGGCAGCACAGACATTAACACCAGCAACGCTGTGAGTATTCCTGATATGTGGTAACTGAAGTGTTCCTCCTACAAATATGCCATCCACAGTTTATACTGCCAAAAATGTTTCTTGCTGTTTTGTCTTATAACAGGATATCATCTTTGTAAAGGTGAAACAAAGGTGTACACAAAGTAAAAAGTGCCACCTCCCCCCCCCCCCCCCCCCACACACACACACACACACAATTTTTTTTTTTAATTGATGATAATTAGGAGGAATATATTATCAGAAAAATTCAAAGTAAATAAGGCAAGTGACCGGTAAAAGTATCTGTGCACTGGAAAAAAGGAAATGAAGCATCACACCCATTCATTATAACTTAAAATTGAACCTGTGCGTCATCGACAGAAAGATGCCCAAGCGTGAACGAACTTGAAAATGCATACTTATGGTACATACATTAAATTTCTGCAGACAAGATCTATATCTGAACAATAGCTGGAACTTCATCATTGAACTCCAAGCCAAAGGAAAATAACCCGCCATCATTGACTGTAGAATTCTAAGCATAGACCATTAGAACTGTCTGCATTCACGTTTATTTCCCAGGTGTTGAGATAAAGACAAGAGGGGCAATGAGGAATCAAGAGTATTGATCTTTGCTATGCAAATTCCATAATGGAGTTTATTGCCAGAGTTGCAGTATTATTATCTTACATGAAGGTTGCCCCCACTGTTATGCCAAGGGAGTTTTCCTAAGAGAGGCGTGCAGGAATAATGAGTTTAGGTTGAATCATCATGTAAATGTAACCGTCCTACCTGGAATGCAAGATAAGCTTCTAACATTTTGTAATGAACAGCCTGTATGGATTTTTAATGGAACTGCATTTCTGGGGCTTAATTCAATACGTGCTAAGCAGATACACGAACTCTAACAAAACACTGCTTCTGGGTAAGAATGTGGCTCATCTCTGATCTGCAGATGCATTCAATTTCATGAGTGACAAAATTACTTTATCTGGAGAAACAAAAAGAAAAAGAGATAATACCATTAAAGATTTTATGAGATAAGACAGTAAAATCCATTTGGTAGCATGGAAACTGACAGTGGCATATTTGAATAAAAAGAATTGATTGTTTTGTCACATCTGCTTACATTATACATTACAGTATAGAAAATCTGCTAATGTGAAATTCACCATAAGGCATGTGAGAAGTATTATTATTATTGTTTTTAAATAATGTTGAAGTGGGTCATGTGGTATGTCATGAACTGTCTGTGAAACATCAAGAATGTCATAACATCTGGAATAGAATTACAATGAAGTGCTCTTTGGGTCTTTTTTCATGTAATTTGCTCAAAAGCACAGGAAGCCCCATCTGTACTTTCCAAGAAACAACCATTATACCCTAATTGATTTTTCTGTTCATCATCGATGTTTGTTTCTCTTTCATTTGTAGAAGCTCTAATATGATTTGCAAAACAGTTTATCTGATTTTACATCAGAAAAGAAGATTGTTTGAATATTTTCCCCATTGCTCGACTTTGGGGACCTGACTTTATTAGGTGGTGTCCAATATCTGAATATCTGAATTTATTTACTCAATCATTTTATGCCAGTGAACATTATATCACACATAAATTTAATAAGTGTAAGTGTCTGGTATGAAAGGGGGGTGGGGTGGAAAGAATAAAAAGATGAAAAGTCAGAAGAGGCCATTTCTCATCGACAAAAGTGAAGTCAGCTATTATTAAAGTATTTCTCATAATTTCCTTCAGTATTAGCCTGCTTATTAGTTATCTGACAGTCTTCCAAATTATCTTTGTTGAGCCATCCTCCATTTTTGACTGTCTTCCAACAGAAAGAATTAGATACCCATCAATGTAATCTTGAAAATCTGACCATCTTCCAGAAGACCCAGAAGACAGCCTCAATCCGCCCCTGACTAGTCCAGCCTTAGTCACTGGGTATTCTAACCATATAGTGGGTTGTTTCTGTACAAGTCAGCTAGGTACAGCAAGCTAACAGCTGGGTACTAGTGTTATCAGACAAAACACAGCAAGATACAGAATACTTCAAATAAATACCCTGATTGGTACTCACTGACCATAACGTTTATAGATGTATTTTCTAAAAAAGGTTGTGCTGTATGCATCCATGTGCAGACAAGAATATAAATTTCTTGACTTTTTCATTGAGAATTTTGTTAAGAAAAGAAAAACTATGGCCTGTAGTAAGGTAGCCATACAGCAAAAATCTGACCCCCTTGTTATCACATCTTCAATCGTGTTATCCTCAACAGACTGCCATGATGTGAAAAACATTCCCTCCAATCAAACCATTTCTTGAGATAATCTAGTTGATAACACCTCATCAACATGTCTGCAGTTTACAATCATTATGCAGCAAGTCATCATCAGCTGTCATTCCTGGAAATTACTGATTACTGTGAATGGGTCTCGTACCATAGAGCATATCATCTTTTGGCCATATTGAATATTTTAGACATTTTCACTGGAATTTTGTTTGATATGATAAATGATATTATTCATATGCATTCTTTATATTAATGCTTGAACTGATTGTTTTAATCTTACACTTTCTTACATTCAGCATGTGTTTTTAAAATAGATTATAATTACTAGTACAGTTCCTCACACATTTATTTGAAAGCCATCATCATTTCAGTCTACCATCTATGCACTGGATATTAATCCAGGGAGAGAGTGTTTATCAGTATTTTTGCAGTAACATGCAACCCAGCTGTTATGAGTCAGCTCTTAACATTACGTAGCCCAATTAATCATAATTGCTCTTGACGTTGTGTTGAAGATGATAGGTGTATAAACAGATACCATGGTCTTGCAAAAAGAGAGAAAAAACAGCATGTTTGGCTGCTATATGAAGGATTTTGTTACCTGCTGGTTGCGATCGATCGAGTAGCGTGGATAAAGAGGCATTTTGAATAAACTGGAGCTAGTACATCTGGCCTTGCTTGGTTCCGACAAAGATTTTTTTGGCCACAAAATGTTTTTTCTTCTTTGGGTGACACATTGTGAAACAATTCACAATCTAAAATAAGGAATGCAGCAAAATAAATGTCTGTGTATAGAGTAGACCATCCTGCCACCTAGATAACATAGATGGCATTATTTGACAAGGCAAAGCATGGGGTAATGCACTGAACTCTTTCTTTGCCTTTACAGGAAAATTATAGTGTTGATTAATCCAATTTTATTAAACTGAGATTAAGATGAAATTATATATCTCATACTGAAGCTTATATTTGAAATGAAGGTTACAGAGTTTTAGCCTTAATCAGGAGGCCTTCTTCAGGTGAACTGAACTGGGTAGTCAACACCTGATGTTGGTGACAGGTTGAGCTCCAGTATGAGATTGAATTTATTTTCATATTTATCTTAATTTACCTTAATATGTTTGTCTTACAGTTTCTTTAGTGATTGCACACCATCTGATCATTGAACATTATAGATCATTTTCACTACGAGTCATAGCAATATGTGTGAATTGATTCTGAATGAGTTTTATTTTTTTGCTTCCAGAATGGCCTCAATGCTCTCCATCTTGCTTCTAAAGAAGGTCATGTGAACATAGTAACAGAGCTTCTGAAGAGAGGAGCAAATGTAGACGCTGCAACCAAGGTAAATATGCATGCAATTCTTGTCATAATGTCTGTAATTCACATCGCTAAATGCCTCTGGTATGTAGAACTTGACCAGGCCTGTGGTACATGGAACTCAACCCAGTGCCTGTGGTACAAGGAACATGACCAAGTGCCTGTGGTACTTGGAACATGACCCACTGCCTGTGGTACATGGAACATGACCAAGTGCCTATGATAGACAGATCTTGACCTTGTGCCTATGGTGCATATGGTGCCTGTGACTGGTTTTACAAAGTCATTGTCAGCTATTGATTGCTATCATACACAACTGAAACATTGAAAGATTTAGTTGAAGAATGTCATTATGAGAATTCATTAAAATGGTCGCAGGTCCCCCAATACATGGAAATAAACCTGGTGTGTCTGATCCACAAAACAGGTAAAAAAATACCTTTGAATCTATAACTTGTGCTTGATAATTGTTATTTAGTACCACTTACAGTCTCCTTGATTTCAAGACCTTAAATTATGATATAAGTATATTGTTTATTGTGGTATTCTTAGACAGTACTATCTTTAAAGCCAATATGTTGATGCTTTAGTTATAGACTGATCTTATTAAAAATCAATCATGGTATGATAAATTCTATATGTATGAATTTTAAAATACCATACCAACATGTATATATGACCTTTATCCAAGAGCAGTTTATGCTGTAGAATGTGTGAGATGCCAGAATGTTTATAAAGGAAAAAAAGGTTGTTCATATCCCAAGATTTTTGTTGTGTAATATTAAGAGTTGTTTGTTTGTTTTTTCTCAGCCATTATCTCCCATGTTTACCCTGCCAGATAATTCTGTGGTTTGTATACCAAAACATTGTAGTACTTTGATAGAAATACCACCTCATCTCCTGTATGCCATACTTTCCTACACAGATTTCTTGGAGACAGGGTGTTTTGCATGTCCTAGATGAAATTTTCCTCTATTGAAAAAAAAAAAAAAAAAGAACAAAGATAATTTTATTAACCTTTTAAAAATTAGAAATAAAGATTAAAATGCAGATCTGTACATGGTAAGTTAAAAGGGTGATAGAAAGCATGTTTTAGATGTAGATATTTGGTTTTAGGGTCCACACACTGAGTCACGTCTATGAAAGATAACCACTTGAAATACCCCCTTTTCTCACAGTTATTTTTAAAAGCTCCTCTTGGTTAAAAATTTTGGTGGAAAAACTCTAAATAATGTCATTAGTAGTTGACTTTAAGATAGCTTAGTGAAACTCATCACGCTAAACTCCAGTGAATGAAGAGAATCATATCTGGCCCGTTGCTCCTAAGAGGTAAGGTGGTACAGGGACTGGAACTAATCACAGTTTCTAGGTTAGGATAACATGTGAATGAAAAAGTTTTCTGACTTTTTTCATGTGTGTGTTGATGTGTATGTGTGGGCGAGGGTAGGAATATCTTAATTGGTTCATCCTTACTTTATGTATTTTGTTTAGGATTTTAAAAGCAGATATTTTATTCTAGTGCTCTCACAATTTTCTGTATTAATAACCAACTTTATTATTCTGAACTGGATATCTATAAATGATGGATATAAATATGTACCATCACCATCATCATCATCACTGTAAACAGATGTCCTCACACGGTTAATTGTTGCTTAATTTAAGATTTAAGATGGTTTGAGTCTGGGTCATGGAGTACGTTCAGAGTCAAATGGTACAGACTTGTACATTGTGCTGGCTAGGATTGAAATTTGATTAGGAAATTGAATTATTTGCATTCTGGTACAATTACATTTCCTTTTTTTTTTTTTTTTTGGACAGAAAACAAGATACATCTGCCTTAGTTGCAGATGACATCCAGACATTGTCTGGACATATTATGTTGCTCTGAAAGTGAAAAAGAACATTTTCTGCCATTTTCAATATCACTGAGTCAAATTGCATGATAAATAACAGTACATTTTTGGTCAGCTAGAACATTTATTCTGTTTTTCCCTAGTCATATGAATATATTTCAGTCTATATCAGCATTTTACTGCATGTTACTCCTCTAGAGTCAGTTCATTTGTGTTCAGATATGATAAACAAGATGTACGACATGCATCCTCTTGACTTTCTGATGATTGATGTACATGGAGAGCTCGGAGGCCTAAAGGCTGCCCCATTTTACCAAGACAAGGCTCTGTTCACAGGGAGCCCACCTGTCCCGCACCAAGCCCGTATCATACTGTTCTGATTGTTTAAATTCCTTTTTTATCGGGTATAAAGAAATGCATCAGTAATTTATTCTTACCATAATACTAATAACAATAATGATAATAATAATAGTAATAAGATAACTTTTCACTTTACACCATAATAATTTTTGTGACAGCCATAATAAAGAAATGCATCAGTAATTTATTCTTACCATAATACTAATAACAATAATGATAATGATAATAGTAATAAGATAACTTTTCACTATACACCATAATAATTTTTGTGACAGCCATAATAAGGTACAGTAATATCATTGAGAATCTGCCGAAGTAAAGCATACACAGCCAAAAACATGTTCACAGAGCCATATAGAATGGGATAGAAAGTACTTGAGAATTGTGGCATAGGTGTGATACTTACCACATTCTCACCTTCTTGCACAACATAATGCTATGCAAGCTGTCTGAGATTAGCATCATGGGGATCCAATTGAAAATCTTGTGCCAGATAAAACTGTTTCATATGCTGAAGTCACTGTAGGTGAAGGGTTAAGATGGAGAAAAAACCATGTTGCCCTATGAAAAAGTCAATGTTTGTGTTTTGGGTGATATAGTATGTCTGAGATTTGTATGAAATGTCATGGATATTTCTCTCCCACTCTCTCTCTCATTCTTCCCCATTCTTACTTTCATTCCTTATTTTAAAATAAATATATATTGTGCTGTTCTACACTTGAATAAAAAAAAAAACTTACATTCTCAAAAATTTTGTATTTCAGAAAGGGAACACAGCCCTCCACATTGCATCTTTAGCTGGGCAGGAAGAAATTGTCAAAATCTTAGTACAACATGGGGCCAAAGTTAATGTACAATCACAGGTAAGTTCATGATTTATGATTTTGTCTGAGATGTGTGTGAGTTTTTTGGGGGCAAAGCATAATATATAGCACACTTTTATTTTTATATATTTACGCTAGTTTGGTATGAAATGGAGTCCAATCAGTTTTATTTTGCTGCCAAATAAGGGATGAAATAATTTGATATTTTTCACTTAGCCTAAAATAATATAAATTCAAATTTTGTGGAACATTCTCCATGCCAGCACTTATATCTAGATAAGTATTTTCAGCAGGTGAATATTCAATATGAATGTTGTTTGGGGGTTTCTAGGAATTTAGAGGATTTATTAGCATGCCCCTCGCAGTTCCTGGATTCTTCAAGGTCAAGCTTTTCCACCTGAGCAGCTTTCAAGGAGGAGATCTTTTTCCAATCATTATGTTTTTCTGATATTTTCCCTTACTAAAGCTGCACTCAGGCAGGTTTTCTACAGGGGTTTAAATGTCTCATGTACAGCGGGTGCTTTGGTCAATTGATTTAGCAGCCTAATCTTAAGTTTTTAGTTTAAACCTCTTATTTTTATTGAAATATCTAAGATGATATATTTTATTATACATTGGGCATGGATTGAATTTTAAGCAACATTTTGCAATTTACTTTAGTTTGGCATATTTTTATGTTTAAANACCCCTTTTCTCACAGTTATTTTTACAAGCTCCTCTTGGTTAAAAATTTTGGTGGAAATACTCTAAATAATGTCATTAGTAGTTGACTTTAAGATAGCTTAGTGAAACTCATCACGCTAAACTCCAGTGAATGAAGAGAATCGTATCTGGCTCGTTGCTCCTAAGAGGTAAGGTGGTACAGGGACTGGAACTAATCACAGTTTCTAGGTTAGGATAACATGTGAGTAAAAAAGTTTTCTGACTTTTTTCATATGTGTGTATTGATGTGTGTGGGCGGGGGTAGGAATAGCTTAATTGGTTCATCCTTACTGTATGTATTTTGTTTAGGATTTTAAAAGCAGATATTTTATTCTAGTGCTCTCAATTTACTGTATCAATAACCAACTTTATTATTATGAACTGGATATCTATAAATGATGGATATAAATATGTAACCATCACCATCATCATCATCACTGTAAACAGATGTCCTCACACGGTTAATTGTTGCTTAATTTAAGATTTAAGATGGTTTGAGTCTGGGTCATGGAGTACGTTCAGAGTCAAATGGTACAGACTTGTACATTGTGCTGGCTAGGATTGAAATTTGATTAGGAAATTGAATTATTTGCATTCTGGTACAATTACATTTCCTTTTTTTTTTTTTTTTTGGACACAAAACAAGATACATCTGCCTTAGTTGCAGATGACATCCAGACATTGTCTGGACATATTATGTTGCTCTGAAAGTGAAAAAACATTTTCTGCCATTTTCAATATCACTAAGTCGAATTGCATGACAAATAACAGTACATTTTTGGTCAGCTGGAACATTTATCCTGTTTTTCCCTAGTCATATTTTATCCTGTTTTTCCCTAGTCATATGAATATATTTCAGTCTATATCAGCATTTTACTGCATGTTACTCCTAGTCAGTTCATTTGTGTTCAGATATGATAAACAAGATGTATGACATGCATCCTCTTGACTTTCTGATGATTGATGTACATGGAGAGCTCCGAGGCCTAAAGGCTGCCCCATTTTACCAAGACAAGGCTCTGTTCACAGGGAGCCCACCTGTCCCGCACCAAGCCCGTATCATTCTGTTCTGATTGTTTTCCTTTTTTATCGGGTATAAAGAAATGCATCAGTAATTTATTCTTACCATAATACTAATAACAATAATGATAATAATAATAGTAATAAGATAACTTTTCACTATACACCATAATAATTTTTGTGACAGCCATAATAAGGTACAGTAATATCATTGAGAATCTGCTGAAGTAAAGCATACACAGCCAAAAACATGTTCACAGAGCCATATAGAATGGGATAGAAAGCACTTGAGAATTGTGGCATAGGTGTGATACTTTACATATTCTCACCTTCTTGCATAACATAATGCTATGCAAGCTGTCTGAGATTAGCATCATGGGGATCCAATTGAAAATCTTGTGCCAGATAAAACTGTTTCATATGCTGAAGTCACTGTAGGTGAAGGGTTAAGATGGAGAAAAACCATGTTGCCCTATGAAAAAGTCAATGTTTGTGTTTTGAGTGATATAGTATGTCTGAGATTTGTATGAAATGTCATGGATATTTCTCTCTCACTCTCTCATTCTTCTCCATTCTTACTTTCATTCCTTATTTAAAAATCAATATATATTGTGCTGTTCTACACTTGAATAAAAAAAACTTACATTCTCTTAAATTTTGTATTTCAGAAAGGGAACACAGCCCTCCACATTGCATCTTTAGCTGGGCAGGAAGAAATTGTCAAAATCTTAGTACAACATGGGGCCAAAGTTAATGTACAATCACAGGTAAGTTCATGATTTATGATTTTGTCTGAGATGTGTGTGAGTTTTTTGGGGGCAAAGCATAATATAAAGCACACTTTTATTTTTATATATTTACGCTAGTTTGGTATGAAATGGAGTCCAATCAGTTTTATTTTGCTGCCAAATAAGGGATGAAATAATTTGATATTTTTCACTTAGCCTAAAATAATATAAATTCAAATTTTGTGGAACATTCTCCATGCCAGCACTTATATCTAGATAAGTATTTTCAGCAGGTGAATATTCAATATGAATGTAGTTTGGGGGTTTCTAGGAATTTAGAGGATTTATTAGCATGCCCCTCGCAGTTCCTGGATTCTTCAAGGTCAAGCTTTTCCACCTGAGCAGCTTTCAAGGAGGAGATCTTTTTCCAATCATTATGTTTTTCTGATATTTTCCCTTACTAAAGCTGCACTCAGGCAGGTTTTCTACAGGGGTTTAAATGTCTCATGTACAGCGGGTGCTTTGGTCAATTGATTTAGCAGCCTAATCTTAAGTTTTTAGTTTAAACCTCTTATTTTTATTGAAATATCTAAGATGATATATTATACATTGGGCATGGATTGAATTTTAAGCAACATTTTGCAATTTACTTTAGTTTGGCATATTTCTTATGTATTGANTACTAATATTGGGTGGGAAGTAACATCCTGCCTGGATTAATTGGAGTTCTTAGGAAAATTTGTTTGTGGAAATCTGAAGTACTTGACTTCAACTGGAGGTTCAGCCATGCTAGCATGAAAAACGTGAATTAACTGTGACAGTAGTCATTTGGTCCTGGAAGTAGGCAGCAGGGTTTTACTGACCTCCACTTCATAGTGCTCCAAAGCTCTAAACTCTTGACCTCTGCAAATGTTTTTGTTAGCGTTTTATTGTGGTCCTTGTCATTGTTGTACCTAATTATCTGAGATTTAGAAATTTTAACCAATATTGATGAATTATATGTTATCTTATGTGCTTCCCAGGTGTTTTGGTGCACTGAGGTAAAACTGTGCAACCACAATCAATTTTTTTTACTCCTGCTTTATATGTCCCATAATGCAACTGGATCATCTTCGTGATGTGAGGCTTTGTTTATTGAAGGTGTCAGGTTGTGCAGAAGTTGCAAAACCTTCTGCCTACCACAATCTCAGAGTGTTTCATAATGAGTCATACGTACACTGCTGCGATGATCAATGGGTTATTTCTTTTCTTTCTGTATTACATCACTGAGCAATGTCATGTAAGTGGTGGAAGGAAAAAAACTTCAACAAAAGAAAGTAAAAGGGTCCAGTAAATCAGAAATGAAGCTCATCAGGTATACTCCCTTGCGCCATGCTGCACAATGAGAAATCGTGTTCAAACGTGAAAATTTCTCAAAAACACCGTACAAATATTTAGGTGCTTACACAAAATAAGAAATAAAGAATCATGTTGGGTGATTTTATTGTTTCATTAACCAATCTAAGAATCTGTCTACTATTTCTAAAGACAATGAAATATGGCAGTTTTTTAAGTAAATAGATTATTTTCCCACAACTCAGAATATCTTTGCCATGAGGACGTTGAGGTCAAATGTATTCATATACATAAAATTGTTGGAGCAAAACAGTATATGACATGCTTTAAAATACTCTAAATGCAAGGGTTGTTACACTTGTGTACTGTTTTCTAGGATGCTTACAATTCAGCAGGATATTTAAGTTGGAAAGTATTATTTCATTGCATTAATGGTTTCATGTATTGTATTGTATTGTATTGTATTGTATTGTATTGTATTGTATAATTCCAGGATGGTTTCACTCCTCTTGCCGTAGCTCTCCAGCAAGGTCACAGCGAGGTTGTGGAGGTTTTACTGGAGAATGACACACGAGGCAAGGTAAAACTGCCAGCACTTCACATCGCTGCCAAGAAAGATGACACAAAAGCGGCAGCTCTTTTGCTACAAAATGACCACAATGTAGATGGCGTTTCGAAGGTGAGTTAAGGGTTATGTTGCTATTGTAATTTGTTTTTTTTTTTTTTGGAGGGGGGGGGAACTGCATGAGATTGATTATATTTTTAGAAATAGTTTGATGCAATATTTTTATAAGGATTGTCTGAATAATAAGAAAAAAACTAATGTAACGAACATGAATTTAGACTGCATGTGTTGTCTAAAAGAAAATACTAACTTCTCAATATTTGAAGATGCTACACGATTGAACAGAATGATCACAAGAAATTGGAGATCTGCTAATAAAATGTAATTGAATTAGTTTTAACTCTGCATCCATTATTCCCATCAGGGATGGGTTTTGTTTGGCACTGTCAGTTGTTCTTATCAATAAAACGTTAAACTTCTCTCTGGAGAAAGTTCCATATGTTTATGTCATCAGTAATTGGCAGGTGCTATTTTGTATGTGTGTGTGCAATTTCTTCCATTTTTTGGCACTTTGTGAAGTGTCGTCTGCACACACACCCCGACATGCCCTGCACATGTCTTATGTCCAGCTGTTCTCTTTCTATCATGCGTTGTCTTGGATAGAGCGGGAGCTTAGTCAATGATACCACAAAGGTAGATTGTTTGTGTTTATTTCAGCAAGAAATGGGAATAATATCACATCTTTCAAGAATCCGTGTTAGTTTTCATTTTAACAGTGTAGTTGGTTTTTTTTAATCCTGAAATTTTTTCCATAGATAGCATGATCAAAGATGTGACCAATTTTCTGACAAACAGTGAAGTGTTTTATGCATAAGATTTATAGAAAATGTCTGTGAAAACTTATTCATCTTGTCTTATATGGAAGGAATGCGTGGGGAAAAAATTAACAGTATATAAATAATTTTTAAACAATTTTCAAACACAAAGACCCATTGGTTAAAAAATAAAATTGGCTTCCAAATAAACAAGGTCACTTCACAGAAACTAGGTGTTGACTTCAGTATGATCAGAGGTCTTGGTGTCACGTTGAGATGTGATATTATCCTGACAAAGAGCTGTACATGTTCTTTTCTTTCTTCTGTGGCTTCTTTATTTTATAATGGTCTCAATTAGAATAGAGGCTTCACTGTATTGATCTTGACTCCGGCTCTCCTAGTTCATGATGATGTCATAGCCTTCAGGCAGAGATGACAGAATAAATTAACGTGAAGCTTGGAACCTCTGTCCACCATCTTTCTTTGCCTGAAAAGCTGTATTTACATTTCCTAAGAAACCAAGTGTTGTTGTCATTTCTTCACTGCTTGCTTTTTCTTTGTAGTTTCAGTATTTTATGTATTTGGCTTTTTTTTTCATTTTGAATTATGTATGATAAATTGTATGAATCATACACAGCTACAGAAGATAATTAAACCAAGATAAGCATGTGATAAAGGATGTTTTTCTTTCTTTTTTATCACACAGACTGAAATCTTAGTTTAGATGGTCGTTGTTTGTCTTCATCAGTGAATCATTATTGCTCAGCTGTTATTTCATGTAACCATGTTGTTTTGTTCACTGAGTGATCTTAGTGGAATGAAGAATGCTGCAGGTCACCAGTATTGTTTTTCCCCATTTGCTTCTTATCCAGGCTGGTTCATCTGCTACCTCAATAATATTTGCTATCTCTTTCAATAGTATATTCGCTGAGTCTACGATTTGCAGGTTTCTTATTAAAGTGGCGTGAAATACATTTTCATAATTTAGTTTTGCGGTGAATTTTTGTACCTTTTGGATAAAATGTTATTTACTCAAAACCTTTTTAGCAGTGATTACCTTAATTTTCAGTTAAAATAATTTTTGTTTGCTTTTCCCAGAGTGGTTTCACTCCCCTCCACATTGCTGCTCACTATGGGAATACCAACGTAGGCACCCTCCTCATCCAGAAAGGCGCAGACTTGAACTTCAAAGCAAGGGTAGGTGGCAGCACAGTCAAATATTGTGGTGAAGAATGTTAAGGTGTGGCAGATTTGCATAAAAGCTGATTTAGTTCATTTCAAGGCATCTCCGCGTAAATGCAAAAGGGTCACTGTTACACACACATGCACGCACGCAGGCACACACAGACACACACACACACACACACACACACTCAAAAAAAAAAAAAAATGTCTTAATTCCCAGACCAAAATTTTCAGTCATCTTTGCCCAAGATAAATAAGCATTGGTCCTTTTGAATGAAATATTGCACCAGTTTTATAAAAAGAGAGAAATTGCTAATGCTTTAGACTTGCAGCTTTTTTTCATTTTAAGTAGACTACAACATATTTGCTTTAAATTGGTATAAGTCAACAGTTTCGGTCTTAAAGTTAAGACCAGATTTCAGCTTGAGTTATTCTGTGAAACTCTCCTGGGCAGGTTTCCTACAAAATAAAAATGGCACAGTTGACTTGAACCACACTGGTAGCCTATATATGATATGTTTACCTGTGATTTCAGAATGGCATAGCACCTCTGCATGTGTCAGCCAAATGGGGCAGGCTGCACATGGTGACACTGCTACTGGACAGTGGAGCAGACGTAGAGGCCAGAACTAAAGATGGACTCACTCCACTCCATTGCTCTGCCAGAAGTGGACATGATCAAGTCACTGACTTGCTGTTGGAGAGAGGAGCACCTTACTCTGCCAAGACAAAGGTGAGTTGAAAATTTTGCCTAAGAGCACTTTACTTAATAAGAACATTATATTATACCCTTTTTGAGAATGGAGAGACTTTTCTTCACATGGCTGCTCAAGGCCTTGCAGTGACTATGCCAGACTCTTCTGTATCTATTAATAAACATATTATCATAAATGTACTGCATGTCATATCTGACTTTCCATATTTTCAGAATGGTTTGACTCCCCTCCACATGGCTGCCCAGGGAGACCACGTGGACTGCGCCAGACTGTTGCTGTACCACAAAGCACCCGTTGATGACGTCACCGTCGACTACCTGACACCTCTCCATGTAGCTGCTCACTGCGGTAATGTGAAAACCGCCAAACTGTTGCTGGATAGAAAAGCGGAACCCAACTCCAGGGCACTGGTGAGAATGGGATGATGGCATTGATTGGATTTGAAAGTTTGAAATTTTATTTTGTTGGAAATTAAAGCTAAAAGTAGGTATTGGGATGTATATAGTGTGAATTCACCTTGGTCCAATAATTCCCTTGCCAATGTATGGAGCATCATTTGAAAAGCTACAGTAGTGAATAGTTCATTTATTTACAAGACTGGTCTGTGGACATTGGTGAATTATGATTTTTAATTTCAGAATGGTTTCACCCCTCTGCACATAGCATGCAAGAAGAACAGAATCAAAGTTGTAGAGCTTCTGTTGAAATATGGGGCCACCATAGAAGCTACAACAGAGGTAAGGAGAAACAACTCTGGTCTATAAGTACAGAGATTATGCAGAACTCCAAATTAGTCAAACATTTCCCTTGTCCACTGGTTTTGTCTTGTTCTTGTGAGTCATGGTTATTGTTGGAAGAAACAAGATAGCTTGCAAAGAAATGTAATAGTTACCAGAAATCTTTTGTAAAAACAGACTTAGAATTAATTTAATGGCAGATGTTGAAACTAGCCACTATTAGAAATTTTTTTTTTCAAATATATTTCTTTACCTTTCAGTCTGGCCTCACTCCCCTCCATGTCGCTTCCTTCATGGGGCACATGAACATCGTGATCTACTTGATCCAACAAGGTGCAAATCCAGACTTCCCAACCGTACGTGGCGAGACACCTCTCCATCTTGCTGCACGTGCCAACCAGACCGACATTATTCGAATACTTCTTCGTAATGGCGCACACGTGGATGCAAAAGCAAGAGTAAGTAATGCGATTCATATTTTTTGTCAACGTGAAGTGGTTGTTTCTATTTTGTTGGTAGTGGGTCTTAACATTTTGGCAAGATATATGTAGACTAAAATAGACTAAAGATTATTCATATTACTTTAAGACTGTGGACCAGAAATCAAATTGAATAAGATGTATATCCAACCTAAATTATAATAATTATAATAGAATATAATAAAAATGATCAAAACCATTTTAATGGCTGTTATTATAATAAACCTTAAATTAACCCTTTCTTTCTCTCTCCCAGGAACAACAAACTCCCTTGCACATTGCGGCCCGCCTGGGAAATGTGGACATTGTTGTGTTGCTGCTCCAACATGGCGCCTCCCCTGACGCTGTCACTAAGGACCTGTACACACCGCTGCACATCGCAGCTAAGGAAGGTCAGGAAGAGGTGGCCTCTGTTCTGCTAGAACACGGGGCACAGCTGGACGTACAGACTAAGGTAACGATTTGTATTGACCTCAGTGAATAGTTCCACTGATTATTTATTATTATTATTTTAACTTTCTTTGGTAAACATTTTGGCTTTTTTTTTTTTTTTTTTTTAAACTTTCTTTGGTAAACTTTTTTTTAGTAGTATTTTCTGGCTTATTTACTTGGGGATTATCAGTCTTTGTTCTCCCAAAACAGTTTTGGCAAAGAATCTTGGAATAGTCCTATCAGCTGCATAATTCACTTGAGCATCATTATTATTGTTTTATTCTTTTTTTTTAACAGACATTTTGGCAAAGGTTTTTTGAATACTTTCATCAGTTGTTTTATTCACTTGGGTATTGTTATTTTGTTATGGTATTAAATTGGCTTACTCTTTTGAAAATGTTAGACTTAGGATTCTGCTTTTGTCTCTTTCTCCAAACCACAAGCTGTTTTTAGTAAAATGTTTTTAAGTGCACTTCAGCTGCAGTGAAAGTCTTCATCACTCTTAAGACATCAGTTTTTTATTTTAAAACTCACTTTATTGTCAATATCTTTTGTTCCATACAGAATCTTTTATATCAAATTATTTCAACTTAAGACTTAATGTATTGCTTTAACATGATTTCGTTATGGAACGCAAAATATTATTATATGAATTGAATTTGTTAACAGAGTGTAATAATTATTATTATCATTTTAAAATCACAGAAAGGATTCACACCCCTGCATATCGCAGCTAAGTATGGTAACATCAAGGTAGCCCGCCTCTTGCTGCAGAGAGAAGCTAACCCAGATATTCAGGGCAAGAACGGCCTGACACCACTCCATGTGGCAGCTCACTACAACAATGTCAATGTAGCCCTTCTGCTGTTGGAGAATGGAGCCTCTCCTCATGCAACAGCCAAGGTAGATGTCCTTTAAAAAGTTTCATCAGTTGGGTAGACAGTAGAGATCTAAAGGTCTTTTGTCACAAGCTTAGAAAAATTTATCACTCATGTGGAATATTTTCGACGTGCCATATACCTTCTTCATCATCCTCAAAGTGACAAAGGTGGCATTGTGTCACTAGGTGAGAGTACTCCAAGCTGTCCTGTTATGTTAGACTAAATATTACCAAGTTATATTCTAGAACCTATTAAGGTGCTTAACACAGGACAAGTCAGCTCAGAATGATGGCCTCAAATCTATCAAATCCAAGGCAATATTTTGTCCAGTGACTGTTTAATTTTGCCCAGTGACATGTATTAATGCCTTGGGACTATTTTCAGAACGGCTATACTCCCCTTCACATTGCTGCTAAGAAGAACCAGATGGACATTGCAACCACTCTCCTGGAATATGGTGCTAACCCTAATGCAGAGTCCAAGGTACTTATGCAGTCTCTTGATTTTTGTCAGTATAACATAGAATTAAAAAATGAATGAATTTTAAAAACTATTGAAATGAGTAAAGATTAAGATAATTAAAACTGTCACTTAATCAGTAATTTAGTAATGGTTTGTTTAATTTTTCAGTGGAATAATTTTAAATAAGAATTGTGTAATCCTGAAGCAGAAACAATTTTATTTGTATTTTAATTTATATGCATATTGATATTACATAATTTTATCCTAACTTAAATTTAATATTTGTTCTCTGCTGACGCTTTTCTTGAGATGAGTGTCTGTTCTCGTTTGTCACTTATATCAGCCTGAAATACATAACTCTGCATTTCAGACAAATAAGAAGAAGACTTATTGACTAAATTTCTGTTGTTTATATGCCTTATGCAAAATTTCAATGTGCATGCATTTGTGTGCTAAATCACACAAGAATATTCTGTATTATATCACAAAACACGTGCTGGCAATTGTAGAGTGGGTTCACCCCAATCCATCTGGCCTCCCAGGAAGGCCACACTGAGATGGTTGAACTTCTCACGGGGCGCGGGGGGGACCCCAATGATGCGTCCAAAGTAAGTAACTAACTAATAACGTTTCGAGCTGGGTTTTTCTCCTATCTTCCCCCCTCCTTTCTGTGGGAGCATGAAGTGGAGAAACCTCGTTGTTATTGCCATTACTAACAAGTTCTTGTTTGCCTAATGCACAAACACTGCTTTCAGAGTGGGTTTACTCCCGTCCACATAGCGGTGCAAGAAGGACACTCTGACATGGTGTCCTTGCTATTGTTTCACAATGCAGATCCCAATCAGAGGGCTAGAGTAAGTAGGGTGGACTGTCTTGCATGAGATGGTGCACTGGTGCTGATATCTGGTGGCAGTGGCAGGAGATGGGTTCAGTAATAAGGCTGTCTAGAGTCTGTCCTCCCCTCCCTCCCCTCATAAAAAGCTCCATTCCTTCAAAAATCAGTTTTTTCATAATAAACTTGCCAAAAAGGCTTCTAGATTTGGTGTTTACATAAACAATGTCTGAAAGATATTCTCCCGCAGTGCCTTTCTTGTTATCCTTGGCTACCAACAAGATTTTACCAATTGGAAAACCATCAAATGAGGCACATTTATTAACTCAAATTATGCTGTTAAATGGACTATAAAGTCTTACCACCCCTACCAACACCCCCACCCACCTCTAAGTGCAGCCTTATGACCTCCCCATCTTCTCTACTCCATCGCCAGCTCCGCCAATCTCCTCCTGCCTAGCTGGGGCTGGGGCGCGTGTGTGTGTGGTGCTTTACTAACTGATACTCACCTTGTGTGCTGGTTCTTCTCCTCCAGAGTGGTTTCACTCCAACACACCTGGCTTCCCAAGATGGTTACACTGACATAGTGTCCTTGTTGCTGGAGCATGGGGCACACGCTAACATCAAGGCGCATGTAAGTAGGCTAGGAGGTTACTAATAACTTAGGGACCTGACACAATGTGGGTGTGCAGATTGTCATGACACAATGTGGGTGTGCAGATTGTCATGACACAATGTGGGTGTGCAGATTGTCACACCTAACACAATAGAACACCCATCATGTAGGCTGACACTTCAAACTCGTTTCACAATCAACATTTTGCATCCCTTTGAGCAAGAATTTAAAAACTTTGGACTTGAGATTTGATAGTATATACACATACACACATTGTTTATGTTCCTTACACCACTTTGCTGTCAAAACCAGAAACCAGAAACGATCTGGTGAAAGCAACAAAAGATAAAGCAGGTATCATACACACACCTAGAATAATGTAATATGTTAAGCAACATGTACACTACGCCAGCAAATTTGACAAATGTCATCGCTTATTAAGCATATCATACATGTTGGTTTACATGGCATATGGGTTTTTGTAAGTTCAAGAGCTTTGGTGGGATTTTGGTTGTGTATTGTTGATGTTAATGTATCGCCAAATTCAAACAAGGAAAACAAAGAAAAAACACACTCATTATACTTAGGAGAATAAAAGAACATGCTATGCCACATAGTTAACTTGTAGACTGTTTTTCACTAGACAAAACATGTATATATGAGAGTAGATGATTTGAATTTTTTTCCACCAAAAATATGACATTTGTTAACTTAGATAGACTCCAATACTTAGACAAACTAACCATAGACTAGACAGAAAGAATTAGTGCATAACAGACCTTGCAGTAAATCGATAACCTGAGTAGTGGGAGCCATTACTAGAGAATACATTAGCATCTGTTACCATATGCTATAGACCTCGGGGAATGTGTATTTGAAAGGGTTTTTGTGTAAAAGCTATTTTTATTCTGGTTTTATGTGCATGGTGATGTTTTTTTTTTTTTTCTTTTTCTTTTTTTTTTTTTGGTCCATGAGAAATTGGATCTTGTTGCCCTGTTTGAAATGGACTGAGACAAAAAAATAGACTGGAATGATTTCCGATTTGTATGTGGGTTATTACACAGTGTGCTTTTCCCTTTTCCTTTGGTATTTTTCCCATCTTTTCAAATGCCATGAAAAATTAATTTAAAATGATTGTGGCTCTTCTGTAACTGAATGAGTCCAAAGATAATTGGCTTTTAAAATGTCACTGAATGGAAAAATACTGTGAAATGACTGCTTTATTATTTGATTATTTTGACCTGAAATGATTTTACCTATCAATCGCTGTGCCACACAGCCATGAATGAAATGACCTGCTTGTACGATGTTTTATATATAATCTTCATATTATTTTGACATACATGAATTAGTTGTAAATTCACATTTGTATAAAGATATGTTGTATCTCATTCTTTGAAAATAAGTTATCAGTAAGTATGGAGGCAATTACATGTAAACAACACCAGCTGAAATTTTGGTGTCAGATATAAATGTTCAAGAATTTATTAAATTATAACACGGAATTTTTTAATTTTTTATCACGTTTTTATTTCTCTCTCTTTTAAAACCATGTTCATGGAGTAAGCTCCAACTTGTACCCAAGTCCTTCATGTAATTTCTCCCGTTCCCTTCAGAATGGTTTGACACCAATGCATTTGGCTGCCCAGGAAGACAGAGTGCCTGTGGCAGAAATCCTAGTCAAGAAAGGAGCTAATATTGATCCGACCACCAAGGTATGGTAACTTAAAAGAAATGTGTCTGATATTTCAGTCAGATTCATATTTGCAAACTTTTTTCAGCACAGTAAGTAGCGTTGTTTTATCAGACTTGATACTTCAAGCAAAATCAACTGAGACAACAGAGCATTACTGTTGTTGTCCAATGCACTCAGGAAATCTAAATGGTTTAAATTGAGAGTTCACACATGTTAACTAATATGTATGTAAAAGGTAGAGGCTTCATCAGAACCTGTTGTTTTATTCTATGATATGTTTTGATGGATACCGAAATTTTGGAGAAAAACAACTCAGATTTTAGCTTTTATTTGAAGAAACTATTACAGTAAGATAAAGTCTGATTAAGATGAAAGTCTGAATTGTCTCTATATCTAGTTGTTATTATTCTTATTCTTATTATTATTAGGCTGGCTACACACCCCTCCACACTGCCTGCCACTTTGGTCAGATCAACATGATCCGGTTCCTTTTGGAACATGACGCCTCTGTCAACGCCACCACAAAGGTTGGTCACACGCCACTCCACCAGGCGGCGCAGCAGGGCCACGTCATGGTCATAGACCTGCTGATTAAATACAAAGCTTCGCCTAATGCAGTCACAAACGTAAGTATGGACTGTGTGCACGTGTCCATATGTGTTAGTTCAAGGCAGTGGCTTAACGCTAAAGTGCTGTATTTAGCAGGAAGTGTAAAAATTGTGTGAGATGTATTCAGAAAGCAATGCTAAATTATTATAGCTGTTTTGTAAAAAAATTCAAAATTGGAGTCAGTTTTGAGCCAAGGGCAAACCAACACAATTGCATGCAATATATATAGTCACAGTCTCAGTTGTGATACTACTCTTTGATAAAATTTATTTGAACAGCTCAATGCAACTATTTTTAAAAGGAAAGAAAAAGTTTGAATTTAATAACATTATTATTGTTGCAAATATCACTGTCTTCCAGAATGGACAAACTCCACTTTCGATTGCCCAGCAACTTGGCTACATTTCCGCTGTCGAGGTTCTGAAACCCATCACCACCGTGGTCGTAACCGAGACAACCACCATCAAGGAGCGCGGAAAGTACGAGATGGTCGGACCAGAGACCATGCAAGAGACACTCCTTGACACAGACTCTGAGGAGGAAGGAGGTAAGAAATGTGACTTCAGAATAAGAAATAAGGTTGAATTGGTAAGTTATGTTGCCTGAGGGGAAAGAAGTATTTTGCAAAAAAAAAAAAAAAAAAAAAAAAAAAAGGAAATACCAAAAGTTGATTAGGGAAAAGAAGTGGGATAGAATGTTATGATTTGGAAACATTTGTAACCCATGTTGTTCTTGGGGAGGTCCTTGAGATAGAGGGGTGATTGTCTGCCTGTAAATATGGACTCAGAATAGAAATGAAGATGGTGTAGTATCATTTGCAGATAGCATTATGATTTAAAAGTTCTTAAAAATGCCCAAGTTATGGGGGTGGCTGAAATAGGAAAACTCAAATTTCATGAAAAAAAGGTATGTTTAGCAGATTAAGGGGAATAACAACAAAATAACAGTTTAATGTGACAATGGAAGAGGGCGGAGGGTGGCAAAAATGTCCTAAGCATTAAACCATTCAGAACCATGCGCAATGAAATTTTTAGTACATATTCTGCCTTGGCATACTGTTATTGATTGATTTGTTTCTATGAGTCATTCAGGAAATGAGATATCATCCTGTGGCCATAGTAGATCAATAAAGTTGTCAGCCAGATTGATGATGTGTCTATCTGCATGTATCATAAGGGCAGCAGCCAGACAGTTTTATTACTTCTACATTAGAACATGCATATAACCCAGTAATACTGTACAGTCCCTATCTCATTAGAAAAGATGTATGGAAATTGCTAGCATGACAATAATGACTTGAGTCCTCTGCTAATCACGAGATGGCAAAAATTGATGAATTGGGATATAATATATGGTGTGGTAAAATTGATTGTGTTGGACATGTTGCCTTGACGTTGAAGGAATTTGATATGCATTGCTTTATTCCTGAGAATGACAAGTGATAACCTAATCAATGGAGTGTATGGGTCTTGTTATTGATTGGTAGGGTAGAGTGTGTAGCAAGTAGTATTAAAAGATTGGTATTTTTTTCTTTTTGCATATGGAAATTTCTTGTAGGATATTGTATTGGGAAATTTTTACAGAGTGAATTGAAATTTTAAATGTATGCTATGATCATTTGATAAAGTAGTTACTTAAAAATAAATGGAATGAATACTTGTCAAAATTCTCTTTGTGAGTGATTATTATTATTTTGTAAAGAGATAATCAAAATCATTAAAAGCTTGAATCTAAAATTTTGATAAAAATATTACCTCACAATGTTGAATATTCTAGAATTTAAGTAACTACTTTTTCAGCAAGAACATTTTTATTTACTGATAACATTTTTGCATGAAACTATTATATTGATGTTGTATATAAATATATATTGATATGGAGTATGCCCATATTCTGTCACTGTTCTATTCATGTTCCCTCTTGCATTGAATTGCTCATACCTCATACACCTGCTTTAGACTGTTGCTTAATTGTCCACTAAGCCTTGAGCCTCAGAACCCAGAGTCATTTCTCCAAGCATGTGTCTCAGTTTGCACTTATATCAATGTTATCAAAGTGTAACCAATCCTGCATGCATGCGAATGCTCTGTAGAAACTAACAGCTTTACTTATGATTTCTCACATGCAGAACATATTCCCTCTACAGTTGAACATAATGAACATTTTCTCCTTACTGATAGTGAGCTGTCTACTGAATCCTCTGAGAAGCATGTGCCATTATAGTTTCAGACTCATGGAATTGAAATGCATTCTAACATTGCATGACCATGCTCAAAATGTTCCCATATAGGATACTTTCAGCATATTCAGAGATGCCGATACACATACTAATATTTCCAAGAAGACATTTCCACCAAACTACACTATTGTACACCAGCAGTGACACGCATGTGCATGATGACATGTAGTTAATACAATCTTTTAAACAAAAGTTGACCCAAGTTGACTAAAATTACCAAATTCAACCCCAACACCTATTATCTGTAACATAACCAAACAACATACGGACAAATTCAAATCATATACCAACAATACGAGTTACGCTAAAGGTGGTATGCAGTGGTGCCCCCTATACTCACACTCAGTGGTCATAGTGGTTGCTTATCTCTGTGCTGTCCCCCCCAGGTGAAGTGTTTGCTGTAGAAGACTATATGCCTCGCTCCCCATTACTGGGAGGCGACCAGAGGGTCTACCTGCCATATTACCAGGGCGATTCCATGAGGGTGGATGGACGTAAGTCATGTGTGGAGAAAGTTGATTGGTCGATTGGTATTCGGAGCTAATTCTTATAATGAGCACACTATAGCAACAACTGTCAATGGCATATTCCTTACTGCTTGATTAGTTTCAATTCACAGTGCCATATTTTCACACAAATCGTCATGCTTTGATGTAGACTTGCTTGTTGATGTTGATGTGTAGTTTTTTTTTTTTGTTTGTTTATTATTATCTTAAATGTTGTAATTATTGTGTAGTTTACAGCTGGAAGAAAAAATAAAGGTAAGGTTTTCATGTTGTTGTCAACTAGTATAACACCACCAACTATGCTTTATCCTCATGCCATGTGGATACAGCCAAACCCTCTTGCTTATGGTGGCTTTCTGCCTCTTTTAGTCCAGAGTCATAGTCCTCTGAACTGAGCTGAGAAGGGTAGAAACCTAAAGAAATTTTCAAATATTGACTCCGCAAATGTCATTGCAGGAGAAGACACCATCTTGGGAGACCAGACTTTCGCCTATCTGCAGCAGGATGACATGCATCAAGAGTCGGCTATCAGACCTGTTAAGGTAAGTGTACTGTACAGAACTCTTATGCCGTGGCCCTTGAAGCAAAGGCACATTTACACACACCCAGTGGAGCTGATTGGGTACCAGGGTGGCACAAAGTTGGGATAGTTTTATATAGATAGCTCAGTGCTTTATTTGATGGAGCTACCTTGACTTTTAGGTTAGCTTAAAAGTTGTGTGAATTTAGACTAAACTGCTTTTCAAAATTGCTGAATATGAAATTTAAAAAAAAAGTGCTACTTGTGGCTTAAAGGTTATCGACCTTGGACCAAGAAGTGAATAGCAGTATTTAAAACTTAACAGTGTGCACTGGGTACACAGCACACGTGCTACACTATTGTTTTAAAATAAACTTCCCAAATTATGTGCCATTCTGGTTCAAAGTGCATTGTGTAAAACGGGGGTTAGCAGAGCTTCAGTGCACAGACTGGATATAACATAGCCCGTATCTGTGTATCTATATGCACTGCACAGGTGGAGGTATGGTGTATAACATGGGTGAATTGACTGACAATTTAACCTCACACTCTTAGCACAGTTGACATGGTGGAGGGACGGTGTGATCAATTATGTGAGTCTGATTTTTTATAGTCATGCAACTATCTTAGTTGTCTATAAACCTCTCATTATCTTTATTCTGAGGTGATCTTCTTCATAACTTCTTGTGAAGATCTTCAGCATATATTTATGCACTGTGCAATCTTTTTAGCTGCAGTTCTGAAGCTTTATGTAGGATAAAGAGACATAGTAATGCTGATGACTATTGCAACTACTACATAGAGTTGCCCTGGTCTTACTTTAGTCCTTTTTAACTTGATATATTTCTTCACTTCTCTTGTGGTGGTCTGCTTTCTATAAACTCTCTTCAGTGGTTGGGGTTAGGAACATGGGTATCCTCTCTTCTGCTGTGTAGAAACATGCAGTTATGGTTTGACTTCATATCTATAGACCAAGAATGGACTAATTTATATCACCAGATTAAAACTTTGAAATTCTCACATGGAATCTGGTGATGTCATATAGTCTAAGTTGATTTTTGTGTGAACACATCCTGTAAGTGGTGGGGGTCTCTGGTGGAAAAAAATTCTTGTATGGCCAGGCTATGCATGCACAGTTCATTTCTACTAATCTGTATAACCTGACTGTTCTAACATAGTATTTAGGCAATGCTTTTCTAGTGTTTTGCTCCCCCCCCCCCTGCACTTGTTATACAAGATCAAACTTGCACTATTATCTTGTAGAATTTGTGTATGTTTGTGTGACTCAGCATGAGTGCATGAGAATGCATGTCAGGAACTAATATACTAAAATTCTTTTTATTTCTTTTTATCTATATGCATTTTTTCATTTTCATTATTATGTTCTTGCACTTGTTTTTTGATTTACTAAAAATTCGTAACCAAATTAATTTATTTAATTTTATTTTGATTTTTGATATAATTATCTCCCCATTTTGTTACTAATGTTGTTTTCATAAAATGCAACATTTTGAGCATATTTTTATGTACAGTGTTAATTTATTTGGTTAAATTGTATTGTAAATGTTTTTCAGTAGATTTTAGTTTAGTTTATTCCCAGCATGTTTTTGTTTATAAGTTGTATGAATGTTTTTTAAAATTAAAAAAAAATTAATTTTAAATTTATTTTACCTGGAATGATTTTATATTTTGGTTAGCTGAACAGAACTGTTTACTGTCTTAGGTGTAGAGTAGTGAGTGCAACCTATTGGAACACCCTTGTACAGTACACAAACCCAGTGAAGCCATTCTATATAGACAGAAAAATAAAAAAAATACTATTGAAGGAATTAGTTTTGCCTCATCTCTGAAAGTCAGTTTGAACACCCCAAATTCTGAGTTGTCTAGAAACCTGCCTCAATTCCCAGCATACTAGTACTGTTCACTGGAGAATATGCTTGATAGAGGTGAATTGACTCTGCTTCTTTGAAACTCAATTAATTACACACATTTAAAATAAATTAATTCTTGTTTAACCTATAGAAATGTGAGTTAATGTACCATTCAGAAATTAATTTTTCAAACCAATCTGTTGAAGTTTTCACACAGGCATATGGCAAAATCAGGCATCTAAATTGAAAAAAAAAAATCCCCATTTTTTTGGCAAATGGCAAAGAACTTTTCAACAACATACTGTCAAGGGTTTCCAGTTGCAATAGGTTTTAGTATAGATGTTGTAAGCATGTTGTGTTGCATTGTTGCCATTGTGTTGTTGCCTAGGACGGCTACCTGTCCCCAGACCAATACACACAGGAACCCTACTCCCCAGGGTACTCCCCCACAGGATATGGGGAACAGATGGATCTGTCCCCAGGACCTTTCAGCCCTGGTGGTTTTGGACCCGACCAATTGAGGGAGTATGATGAGGACTTTGCTTATGTCCCTGGGGATAAAAGAGCAGTGAAGGCTCGTCCCGAGTCTTTTAATGATCCCCAAAGACGACCACGTCCTCCTGGCGATGATAAAGTTGCCAAAAAAGCACGTCAGGAGTCTCTGTCTGATGCTGCCATGCGCGCGTCAATGGCGGATGATAAACAGAGAGGTTCCTGGCGTGGCGGCCCTGAGGATTCTGGTCTTGGTACTCTACCAGAAGGGGCCCAGTATAACCATTACCCTAATGGGGGTCAGGTAAACTTCACCATAAACCCTTCACTTCTATGTTCTTTTTCTATTTCTCGGGATAAGCATGGTTGTTTTGGAAGAAAACTTGGTTTCTGTCTCCTGAGGTGTTTGGATATTGGGAAAGAAGGATACTTTTAGGATACCAATGGATACCAAAAGCAGAGAAAAGTTTGTCTTTGTTAAAGCTTCAAAGACATATCTTTTTTATCTTGAAAATGTTTCTAAATTATATTTTCTTTGATACATGATTTACATTCTTTTTAAAGAAAGAATATGTTTGAGTGAAAATCATTAAAACATTATAGGTATTTGATAAAAATGATATTCATATAGAATGAAATCTATTGTTTTTCTTTTTCACTTGCAGGAAGACAAGATTGAAGCCCAGTATCGCCCCTCTGCATACTCACGACCTGTGATGCAGACAAACGCTTTGGGCAGTGAACCCTTTTATGGCTCATCCTATAGTGGCTCCACCTTCAGTGGACAATTTGATGCGGACAACGTCCAGGTGGATCGCACTCCTGTGTTTAGCGGGTAAGATGGCGAGAATGCAGTGACATATATGGACCTCTGAATATGCATCAGTAGTGGCAGTATTTTCACGTTCTGTAACAGAAAAATTGCTAATTATGCACGGTGTTACGTTAGAGATGTTAAGAGTTTGGTGATGTTAAAAGACTAGAAGTGTTATTATGTTTGTACAGGTATGCTAATATCTGGTAGAACATATTAGATGATCCCAGTTTTCAGCATAACCCAAAGAATGATTAGATTCTACTAATTTAAACAGTTTTTCAAAGCATATGAACAACTGATGTACACAAAACTCTGAGCTTCAATGCAAGGGTCTGGGGAGCAACAACAACAATAAAAAACAAAAGCACTGCATCATAAATTTTTCAATTTTTTTTTGCGTCCAAATCACAAGTTCACCTTCAAGAATGATTCCTTAATTAACAGCATACCTGTGCTGTAGTGTTTAGAATCCTAATTAGCTTCAAAAGCTTCACTAACTCCAGTTATTCTCTCTTCTACACCTCATCACAGAAAGCTGAAGTGGAAAAAGTAAGTGGTTTTGATTTCAATGTGCCATAAAAAGTATGGATTTTATCAATTATTTTCTTTTTTTAAAGCTGGTGCTGTACCAAAGCATGCTGCTTCTTTTGTTATCTCTTACAAGAAATGCAGGTGATCATATCAGACAAAGGAATTGTTTCTCTCTTATTTTGGACTATACCATCTTTACTGTTTATATTTTATTCTGTTAAAGAATTTACCTGTAGATGTGATAACAGTTTTATTTATTTTATTTCCTCCTGTTGATATCCCCACCTATACCCTCACCTATTTTTTGTACCAAAATACCCCCCCCCCCCCGCCCTCTTCATCTTTCCTGCATGGAAAACACTTTGCAGTTTTGTAACACATATTTCCTCTCTGAGGTTGCATGCTCAACACAGACTGGTTTCACACCTGTCAGACATGAAATTTAAGTCTACTTTGATTCAGGGTGAATCTACAGTAGTTCACTTTAAATAAGCAGCTATGTCAATAAGATATAACTATGTCCTTTTATTAAACAGGCACAATATTTCATTTAATTGGACTATTATGGATTCATCTTGATGCAAAGTAGGCACAGATACTCATCCTAAGCTAATGCAAACTTTACTCCTAAGATTCTTTAATGAAAGCATTCCCTGTGGTGATTTAAACCAACCAAATTTACACCACCCCTTGCCTTGTGATGTCTTTCAGATAATTTTTGGCTGAAATTGGTCCAATTCTGTATGTGCCATAGTATTATGACAACCTACTACATAATATTACTCCAGAAAACTTCACAGCAAAAAATAATTGCTGTATCAGCTCTGTTAATATAATCTACAAATAACACTTCAAATTTATTTAAGTAAAAACAGTAGTGTTGGCTAACCATCTGAAAAATCCAATTCAAATTGGAAATTATAGCAGCCAATAAATAGATCAATTCAAGAAAATGTTTTATCCAAGTTTGTTGAATTTTTTTCTAGAAAGTTTTCCGTAATCTCTATGCATGCCAGCAAATGATATGAGCCTCCCCCTTATCTATGAATGTGAACAGTTTTCTTATAGTTATTACCTGGTTCATGGATTAATCGTTAATTCAATCTTAATTGTCTTTGGTTACTGTTGTAAAGTAGCTGAAAAAGTTCAAGAGACTCTGTGACTTTGGATGGGTTGCTTAACAATGTGAAACATTTATACTTTGTTATACCAAGGTAAAATTTTGATTTCTTATTTATGTTTGCATGTTGCATTGAAAGTGTTATAAACCTGTAGAATGATGTAGCCTTATTTTGAAATGTTCATATTTTAGTTATTGTTTTTATTTAGCTGCCTATATGGTACGAAGGAGGTATTGCTAATGACAAAGCTTTATTATATTATATTATATTATATTATATTATATTATATTGTGTGTTCATCATTGGCTTCAACAAATAGTTAAGTGGTTATATATGATATTTATAAGTCAATATAACCACTTTGCTGTGATTCCAGAGATTGATTCACTCTGTTGTAGAGAAATTTAAGTGTTATACCATCCCTGGCTTTATCTCATTTGTTGATGCGTTTTTCTTGTTTTGATGTTTTCAGTTAACTTGAGTAAAAAATGATGGGTATAGATATTTGAAATGTTCCCTTGAATCTTTCAGCTTCCTTGTCAGCTTCATGGTGGATGCCCGTGGTGGAGCTATGCGCGGCTGTCGCCATTCTGGTGTGCGTATCATCATCCCGCCTAGGAAGGCTTCCTGCCCAACTCGTGTCACGTGTCGCCTGCTGAGAAGAGAGAAGCTGGTCAACCCACCACCTCTGATGGAGGGAGAGGCTCTGGCCAGTAGAGTCATTGAGATGGGCCCAGTTGGAACAAAATTCCTCGGGTGAGAACATTCAGTAAAAGCACATATTGATATTGTTGAGCAAAAAAGAAAGCTAAGGTGTATGATTTTTCTAATTTTGATAAGATTTAAGGTAGTTTATTTGCTCTTTTTATCTGCAGTTAGATGTAAACTTCAAATTAAAAAAAATTAGTCAGTGGTATGTATAGTAATTCTAAAACCTTTATTACGCAGGCCATGTTTGTGGATATATTTTGAAGTGATAGATCCCTTCATGTGAATATGAAGATAGTATATTTTGATTTCATTTGTTCAGCCCTGTAATCATTGAAATCCCACACTTTGCGTCACTACGTGGTATGGAACGTGAAGTTGTCATCCTGCGTAGTAACGATGGTGACAATTGGACCGAGCACCCAATTCAGGCCACAGACGACATGATCCACGAGGCTCTTGGCGGTAGTTTTGAAGGTGAAGGTAGTTTATCGTGTCATGCGTGGGGCATGCGGTGTTTTTTATTTCTATCTATTCTTTCTTCTTTTCAAGTTCAGTTGGTGTTGAGTAATTCTAATTTTTCTCTTAAGATTTCATTATTATTAATAATAATTTTGTACTTTTGCATAATCCTTAATGTCACCTTAATTGTAATCCTGTCCTTGTTTATATGATTTAAGCCACATTTTGTTTGAGAACATTTCATAAATGTGTCTCTTTGTCCAACTTTTCTACATATTTTGTTATGTGACCACCCCTATTCTGTATGTAAACCTGCATCAGTGGATCCTTACGTTTTACTGGATACTTGGGTTTTCAAAGCACAGTGCATTACAGTATTTCATTTTAAAGGTTATGCCATATTGGAGATCCATTCAGCTTTTCCTGGTACTTGAGTTTTAGAAGCACAATATTCTTGTACCAAAGTTATGTTAGTGTTGGAGCATTATTACCCCCTCTTTTGTTTTGGTGTTATAAATCTATCCTGTGGCATGTTATTCATAAGCTGCCTCTTGAGTTCATGCCTTTGAAATACATCCATACACTCCAAACTTTTGAAATGTGTATGCAGCTTATTTAAAGATACATATGGATACATGATTTGAGGTTATGAATGGGCTGTTGTTTTCATATCTCCCCCCACCCCAGCTATATCATTTCTGAAGGTGCTTTGAAAGAATCATTGGTGTTACTTATTGATAGAACAAAACTGAGATTTCCCTAAAGATTATTAATATTGAAGTAAATTCCTCAGTGACAACTAATTCATCAAAATTTACTTCAAAAAAGCAAAAAAGAAAAAAATTGTTAAGCATAATTTCATTACGTTTAAGGGCCCTCCATAGCAAATCTTTATTTATTTTTAAATTTGTTATTCTTTCCCCAGTTCATCTCTTCATGAGTTTGATGGCCATTCTAGTAATAAGTATGAGGCATTGAGACCTTGATATGGTACTTGGCATTCTCCCCTTTGTTTCACCTCGTATATATATGAAAAGAAAAGAAAAATAAGAGTGCTTTACGTCAGAGAGTGCTTTACGTAATTTACATGGAGGTGTGTTAGGTTGACAAATACTAGCCTATAGGTACATATAATTCATGTGCCATATGACTTTCAATTACTCTGACTACAGTTGTTTTTACAAATTGATACAGTTACAGGTGGTTTGCTTTGTAAATCCAGTTCATGTGTTTTAGGCGTTGTCTTCTGGTGGTTTTGATAGATGTGGTTAGTAGTTGGTGCATATTGTACACATTTGTATGATGGGTTCATTGAAATGTGGTAATTGGAAGCAGGCAATTGGTCAAAACAGTCATACTTAATGTGAAGTTGGATAAAGTTTTTTCCTTTTTAATTTTGGATTCCATTGACATCTTCATGATAGTGGGTAGTCAATGCAGAAAGGGCAGAAATAGTTGCAATATGATGACAAATATATTCAAAATACTGACACAAAAATAAAAACAAAATTACCATCAATAAAAAATCTCTTGCATTCAAAACCTTTTTTTGTCCAGTGATTAATTTTGGAAGCTGCATCATCTGCTTTCAGATCTGGAAACTGCAGAGGAACTTTTCCACAAGCGCATCACACGTATCATCACTGATGACTTCCCGGCATACTTTGCCCTGGTGACCCGTATACGCCAGGAGAATAACCTGATTGGGGCGGAAGGTGGCATGCTCAGTTCCACAGTGGTGCCACATGTGCAGGCCATCTTCCCAGAGGGGGCACTCACCAAGAAGATCAAAGTGGGACTCCAGGTGGGTGGAACACTACTCCTACACAGCAAGGATTTCTATACTTGTTTAATATTGTTTTGTTTGTATATATATATATATATGTACTGTTTATGTATCTTTGGCCCTTTTTCCTTCCATCTTTGCTGAAACTTTAATTGTATCTTAAACTTGTAAATGATTTACCATACATGATTATCCATCACAGAATTATATTTAACTGTCAGTATTTTTAATTCATACTTTGTGTATTAATCAAAGTACAGATGTCAATAAAATGACATTTTCAACTAACAACTATAGGGTTCTGTTTTATTTTAAAGTGATAATAACTCTTCGTTTCGGCCAAAAAATGAATTTTCCTGGAGTAAACAACAATTTTCCCATACTTACCAGTGGTTAATGAATCCATTTTTACATTGAAAGTTAGTCCCTGGTTTTTTTCTAAAAAGTTTGGTTTTTTGTTAAAATCTCTTAAGAGATTTTAACAGAGTATAGCTATCAATGGAGGTCACGTGGTCTAAAGACAAGCTCAGATATCAGAATAATAGCTATAACAGCCGTTTTTGTGGGAAAACAGAATATATTATATTTTTATGAGTCATTCACAATGTTTTTATGGTGAAATACAGATTTCATATGAAGAGTTATTATCCCTTTAAAAAACCCAAAAATTTTGACAACAAACTAGCCTCAGAGACTCCTCTCAATTCATGAACACACAAAACAATGTTTTGCGAGTCACAAGTTCCATTGCCAAATATCACATGTGCATTATGAACATTATGAAAATTTCTGACTTAAGTTGATTGCTTGACTTTAAAAATTGATATAAGAAAAAATGAATGAAAGCACTTGCCAATTATCTTCACACTATTTAACAGGCACAACCAATCCCCCCGGATCTCGTAGCCAAAATGCTTGGCAACCGGGTAGCGGTCAGTCCCATAGTGACCGTGGAGCCACGTCGCAGGAAATTCCACAAGTCAATCACGCTGACCATTCCCGTACCCCAGGCATCTCAGAAAGGCATGATCAACCAGTACGCGGGCGAGACGCTCACTCTGAGGCTGCTGTGTAGTATCACTGGTAAGAGACGTCGTAAGTTTTGCATTTTGCTGCTTCTTTCCCTTGCTTTTTGCCTTCTGCTATATTTACTACTATTACTAATTGCAAGTACTTTTGCCACCAATCAGTGATTAAGTATTTTGAATTCGTAATGAAAATTTTTTAAAAAGGAATGAGATGATGAACTCAGTTTTATTCTTTTCAACTACTCATAATGTATGGAGCTGACATTGTTTGGAGTCTACCACTTTGCTCGTCTTACCTGCTTGCCTGCGGCTAGTTCTGTGCTTTCTGGGACTGGAAACCCTGTCTACAGATTTAGCCTCACTTACTGATTAGGCTGATCTTCAAAAAAGTTTATTTGAATTCTCGTCTAATGCGAATGCTCTTGAGTATGAAGAAATAACTTTGGGCTATTCTTGAAATGATTTGACTTGAACAAATGACCTATTATATTTATATAAATTCATTCACTGCCCTCCACTCTTCCCGCATTCCTTTTTTCCCCTCCACTTCCATAATATGATGACAGTGCACCATAATCCGATCCCTTCACCCACACCCCCTCCCCCAGTTTACCCCCACCACTCCCACCCACTCCGCTGAAAGTGAATCCTTTCTTGAATGGCCCACAGCAAAGTGATTATTTTGAATGGAGAATGCTGATTGTGAATTCTAACGCCTGTCCCTTGCTATTCCCATGCACCTCTGCAAGGTGGGAATGGCAACAATAACAATAACCACCACCATCAATCTGGAGGTATTTATGAAGATTATGTGTTTTTTATTATTCTATTGGATATTCTGATTTTCTCTACATTGGTTCCTATTGCTAGCTTTGATGTTTTGTTTTTCTTAATATTAACCATTTTTTAGCTTAGATTTTTTATGCATAATAGTGCTTTTGCACAGTGGGTGACTGGCTGTACTAGTGGCTATCTTTGCAGTTTTAAAATTAAATCTGTGGATTTTTTTTTTCATTTCTCTGTGTTTTGAAACTAGAAGTGCAAACATCTCCAGTTATTTGCTCTGTAGAATTACTTAATAAGCTCACATACACAATTTACAATTTTTTGTGTGACATCCTATCTACAAAAGCATGATTTAAACTAACAACTTACTTTATGTTCATCTGGACCTATTTATTTACACATAGAAAAAATATAATTTTCATTCTGTCACTGCACATATATTTATATTATATATACATTATTTGACAGATTTTTGTCTTCAAATCAAAAATAAAAGACAGAGAGAAACAAGAAAAATTATAGCATACACACTAACACTTTTTATATCAGATTTCTATCTTTACTCTATAATAATAGATCAGGGGTCGAAATGTTGCTTTCCCGCTTTCCCGTGGGAAAGCTATTGCGAGCTCGGGAAATCTATGTCAAATCTTACTTTCCCGTCCGGTAAATCAATGGAAATGCCCGGGAAATGCAAAAACTTTTCGGGAAAGCGCACTTAGAAGTCCCTTTCCCGAAAAACTGTTACCTATAATGAAATTTATTCCCTGGCACCAAGCCGTCAATTATTTAACCATTTTCCACAAGCTCGACGTAAGTACTCACTCTGAAACTAAGGACGCACGCACGTGACTAGCTAGAATTTGTTACGGGGCCTCCTTTTGAATTTCAAGAGAGTTGTCAATCAAAATCGTCTCGAGGCATTTACATGGGGTATATCTGACTCGTTCCCGATCCCATTTACACAATGTTAAACACAGAAAGGATCAAGGCTGCGCAGCTAGCAGGTATAACATAGAGAAGTACAAACCTACGCAGCTCACGGAAACAAATTAATGTGCGGGAACAAAGTTAACGCAGCGTCCAAGCCTACACAAATAACGGGCACCAAACAGCGTAGTACGGGGAACGAATATCGGTCAGCCATTTATGCACGATCAGCTGATGCAAGATTCAGGTTGCGCGCATAAGTCGGGCTCAAGTCTAACGGAGGTTGATGGTCAGAAAATAAAGTTCCTCAAGTGGAAAATCAATGACGAAAGCAAGGGAAAAGCAAGCAAACTTGCTAAACAAGACACATGTAAACTTCAAGACACGATAAGAAATGAGGGTGAAGCAGGTGCACATGGCGACGATACAGGTACCAGTAGGCCTACGAGGCTACGTCGTAATAATAATAATAATGTCAAACAAGTTTCATATCTAATGAACTGTAAATTTAATGATAAACAAGACGTTTTTACTTTTCTATTACGTAGTAAACATAAAAATTGCCCTACCTCGTTCTCTTTGCTGAAGACATGATGTATTGAAAAACAAATGGGCCTTTTCACCGACTGAGTTTTTCGGCTCTTCTCAAGAGTTCCACCTGGACTTATTTAATTATTTGAGAAGTGATTGAGTTGTTTTTCATTGAACTCCTACCAAACTGATGACCTTTTTAAAGATGTCACGGGTTATTCTAGCCTTTATAATTAAGGACCTAATACCTTTATTCTCTTTACTTTTGAAAATGCAGTGTTTGTAACATCAAAATTTCACTGCACTTCTTCAACTTACCCTTTTCTAATTGGTGTGAAATTGTCTACTATTAAGAAAATGCCCCAAGTTTCAAATGAAATTAAACATTGTGCACACTAGGAACAAGTCCAATTGTTTACTGGTTTGACTTTTACTTTTTAGCTGCCAAAGATGGACCCATGGAGAATATAGACAGTGGCGAGTATGGAGATGAGACAGTTGAAAGGCTTTCAGAACATTTTAGGACACTGGATAATGCTGGCTTTTAAACAAACATGTGCCAGGCTGAATGGCCTCATTAAAAAAATCCATGCTGGAACTTCATGAAAAGGACCAGGACATAGTTGCCTTTTTAAGTAGAATGCTGACTGTACTTAAAGAGATTTACCCTAATATTTGTGCTCTCTTGACCATTGTGATGGTCCTTTCAGTCAGCACAACAGATGCAGCATATGTATTTGGTACTAAGATTTCAGTCACGTTAATGTTGACAAATATATCTAGTTGTTATAAAAAACACTATATATGGATGCCATGTTAGTTTATTTCATATCAATAAACATTCATTTCTCAAAGATATGTTCTTACCTATATAATTCATCATCATATTAAAATAATCTAATTTAATATTTGGGAAATTGGTTTTCATGAATTTGTTGTCAGGGAAAGCTACTTTCTTGCAGGGAAAATAATGTACAAAATCACTTTCCCGGCAGGGAAAGTATGATTTTCTAAACATTTCGACCCCTGTAGATGTATTTAATTTGCTGTCTTTCAGTTACATTTGTGTTTATTTGATATTTCCTTGAATGCTATTTTCAACATTAGCATGTTTTATACAGTGTGCATACATATATATACTAGAACTGGCTTTTAAATTAATTTTGCTTAGTTCCTTTATATATGAATTCAGTTTTCTTGAATACATTGACATTTCAAGTGATTTGTTACAGTTAGAAATATTTTGTATTGATAATTTTCAAATATGTCTTTTCATTTATTTTGTGCAATCAGGCGGAGATTATGGTGACATGATTTGCCATGTAATTCAGTCTAAAGGAAAAATAAGATTGTTTTTTATTCCGGTTTTACCTTAAACAGAAAATGTTCTTTATAAGCAATTATTTCAGTTGCATCATAACCTTGGAGAAAGTTTTTTCCAGTTTCTTTATGAAGACTTTTCAGTAATTGCCACCATAATTATCTTCACCACAGTACTGTATCAGTAATCCTGCAATGCTTGCATGTCACACCCCTCCCCTCCAACCCACACCCCCTCAGCCAGTCACCCCTCTCCAAAAGCACATTAATTAACTTTAATTCAATAGTTTTCTTCACTGTTGTGTTCCAGGAGGTCAAAGTCCAGCGCAGTGGGAGGACATCACGGCCACCACTCCTCTGACTTTTGTCAATGATTGTGTCTCTTTTACCACCACAGTGTCAGCCAGGTAGGTAGCAGGTTCCTGTTCTGGATATTTTACAATTACTGTGCATGTTTGTTTTTTTTTTTTCTTTTGCTGTCAAACCCCAATACTTTCTGGTGTATATTCTTTGTCATCAGTAGCAGCAGATTATATTTCATTTTATTTCCATTGCAGATTTTGGCTGATGGACTGTCAAAATATCAATGAGGCAACAAAAATGGCAACAGAGCTGTACCGTGAAACTGTTGCTGTGCCGTTTATGTCAAAGTTTGTAGTTTTTGCAAAGCGCTATGATCAGCAAGAAACTCGGCTTAGGTGCTTCTGTATGACCGACGATAAGATGGACAAAACTTTAGAAACCCAGGAGCACTTTACAGAAGTGGCCAGGAGTAAGGATGTGGAGGTGAGTAGGGAGTTTGAACAATTATGCCCCAAGATGTTATTTTTACCTCATCACGATTTAATTATGATTTGACATGAAATAATCTGATTGCCAACCCACACGTAATTTGATTATAAATTTAAAAAAAACTTTTAAAAAAGACTTTTAAACATCACTGATTGATGCCATATTGACAATGTCCACATTACAATATCAGGCCCTTACAAGCTGCTTTTTAATACAATTATTGTATTTTCTTCTAGGTACTAGAGGGCAAGCCTCAGTATGTAGAAATGGCAGGGAACCTGGTTCCTGTCACAAAAACTGGGGAGCAGCTCCATCTCAACTTCCATGCCTTCAAAGAAAACAGGCTTCCCTTCACCGTCAGGGTCAGAGACCCCAATCAGGATCCCCAGGGGAGGATTGCCTTCTTCCAAGATCCTAAGTCTGTGCGTGGAGACACCCCAACCACCCCCATATGTAACCTCAATATTGATCTACCAGACATGATCAAAGTAAGTACAGCCACGGGACCCACCCCTTTTAGAACCTCAATATGGAACTGATAGCCTTGATGAAAATAAGTAACACCCTCCCCCCCCTTGAACTTGCTGATATCAGAATTATGTTAGATTATATAACAGAAGTTTATAATTCATTTTTATTCCAGACTGAAGCAGCACCTGTAGATCCAGAGGCAGCATTAGAATTGAGAAAAAAATACACTTTTATGAAAGAACATGGTTTATGTAAGTTCTAGGTTTTGCCAAAGTATAGTCATATTTGTATATTAATTAACAGCTAAATGTAACCTTATACAAAACTTGTGAGAGGAAGTAAAACCTCTTAATAAAATTTCCTGACAAGGACCTCTCAAAGTGGGCCAGTCCTGTTAATAGTACCTCTTAATGTGAAAAGGGGTAGAGCTACTCCTGCTCTCATTGGGGCTGAAGTCATTGTTATGATTTGTGTCCATTCTTCCACCAGATATTGAGGACACAGTGACCAGAGCCCACCTGCGGCTCAGTGAAGTTGCCGAGGCCATCCAGGGTGACTGGGTAATCCTGGCGCAGCAGTTAGACGTACCAGATTATGAGGTCAGGAAGATCAAAGAACAGTACAACACTCTCAATGACCAAGCTCTTGTTATGTTAACTTACTGGGTGCAGAAAGATCCAGAAAAAGCTACAGGTGAGTGCTTGGTGATTTACATGAGTATGCAGCTAGGACCTTTTACTGTGAAACCTTGTACCTAGATCAATTTTTAACCAGAGTAGAACTTTTTCCAGCAAAAGGGGCAGATCTAGGGGCTATTAATGTTGTGTTTCATATTTTTCAGGCAATGAGCTTGAGAGAGCACTCAGAAAAATAGGTCGCGATGATGTTGTCCGGAAGTGCATGTACAATGTTGAGACTGTCACCGATGACCTTGAGAAAGCCATGGCAAAAGCACAGCTTGACCAGTCAGGTATTTAAGCATTTTAATTATTCTTTTATTTTACTTTATATCTTTTTTTTTTCAGAATACTTGTAAAATAAGTGATAATTTGGAATCAAACTTGGAATGTAGAGTAATTCAGTGGAAATGTTTTGTTCCCTTCCACAAATTGTCAAAAAGTTTGCTTCCTGCTACATAGTAATTTAATTGGCTATGCTTAGGGCATCTTTCTTGCATAGTAGCCGGAATATTAGGTTGTCAGTCTGTCAAAGTAGACAACTCAAGTCAAGTATACCGCTTGATAGGAAAAAGGGTTTTGTTCATAAACAGATAAATTTTTCTTTTGGGATTTTAATATGACTGTTTTATCTTGTCTCAGGTTTTGATAGCCTCAAAGAAGAACTTGGTCCTTCCAGAGATGCTTCCATGGCCAGGGGGGCATCATTAGATGTCTCGTATGATGAACAAGACATAGTAAAGGTAACACTTGTAGTTTACAAATTTTAAAATATTTATCTGTTCTTGTATATGTCCATGTTTGTGTGTGTGTGTGTGTTTAGAAATACAAGTTCAGTTTGAATATTCTGGGAGCTTCCAAGATACACGTTAAGATAGATATACAGCAGATCTAAGGTGACATTGTCTGTAGACAATGACAGTTGGTTAAAGGGTTAAACATAAAGTATGGCCAGTTTCACTATTCACTCACAGATGTTTTATAATTTTTTTGTTAACAGAGATATTACCACGATTTTCATACTACGATTGAGGTGAGAAAGTGGTGCATTGTTGAAATAATTAGTTGTTTGGAATTGCAGTTTACTTGTGAAATTCTTTCAAGCATTTTCCTAATGTCTAATGACACTTTCTTCTTTACTCAAATTCATTTCTTTTAATTGGTTCAATTACTTTGATTTGAATTGTGTGTGTGTGAGCTCAATACATGGTTCTATCTCTCTTTTAATTTGATGGTTCATCTAAAAAAATTGACTATAACTGCCTTCTGTGGAGCATTGTCATACTTAAGCTGAAAATATTCATAATATGTGTGGGGTGATGTTATTTCTCTGATATTAGACTATAAATTTTGGATTTGATCTTAATTTTTAAAAAAGTTTACAAATTGTTAATTGTTGGACAAAGATAATTTCATATTTTGTTTTTTTTACTTACATGTGAACATTTTCCTACAACATTCTCACATGTAATTTTTGTCATAATTGATAAATGTAAGATCAGCAGTTCTTACAGCTGTATTTTGGTTACATATGTTTTCCTCTTTATATTCCCATGTACTTATTAGCACTGTTAATTTCTTTATCAGGAATCTGAATCAGCTGCAGAAGAATCGGGCAGTTCAGCAAGTTCTGTGGTAGAAAAGAAACCAGAGGGTGAGTATATAAAAAAAAGACTCATCTATATATTCTTATATATCGCTGCTGGGATTGTATATTATTTTGATGCTGGGATTATATATCATGTGTTTCATCATTATCATCATCACCATATATCATAACAGTATATATTGTGAACCAGGCTATTTGTGTTGCCTTGGCATTTGTTGTGTTTAAAGCTTATTAACAATGCCTGATAACAGTAACTGGTTGTGAATATGATATGACAAATATACCTACACTGTTTGAAAAAAGGGCAAAAAAATAGTATGGTGTGTTACTATGTAGAGCTCAAAGGACATGATGAGATAAGTAGCTGAAGCCTGTTGTGAAAACTACCCTTTTGGTAGCAACAGGGTCTGGACAGGTGGAAAATGCTGCAAGAACTTTTCCAAAGAAGGTGTTTTTTATTTTCTAGGATTAGAAAATGCTTTTTAGTTAGGTGTTGTAAATATAGTAAGATTGTTCTCTTTTTATTTTTATCCAAGCGTGTGTATAAAATGTTTAATTCTCTCTCCTGCATGTTACGATAGACACAGAATCTGTACACGAAGAGTCCTTAATTGCGACAGTTGACGACAGGCGTCCTGTCAAACAAATGTCAACGGAGTCCGAAGAAGAGCGGGAACGAGAGAAGAAAAAGGAAGCATATCTTGAACTTATTAATTTACTCAATGATACAGAGGCAGCTTTACAACCTGATGATGTTAAATTTGACTCCTATGAAGGTTAGGTGCTGTGCCTGGATATGATATTAATACTACAACTGTAGTATTGCACTTTCAGTATTAGTATTCCTAATGTGGTAACGTTTTGATTTATTTTCTCTAGATCTTGAATGTTTATTAATCCACTTGAATGTTTTGATGCCTGTTTTCTCTTCCCACGGCCAAGGCTAACTGACCCAACGCAGCCACGTTTGCCTGCTACAGTCACTTCAATATGGGGGTAAAACGAGAATGTCCACACATTGTTTCTATTTTTGGCAAATACTAATGAAGGAAAACACTATTATATGAATGATTTTGTCAAAGTGATCTGAGGAAGTCAAAGCATTTGATGAAACTGCTTTTATACTGTTTCAAATAAATTGAAGTCACAATAAACGGGTCGTTGCTTATGTACACAGTTTTGATACCGAAAATTTAAAAGTCGTTCCATATTGATGTGACCCATAATCCAATTTTTTTATTTCAAATTTTACTTGGTTGCATGTTGGAAGATACATTTGTAAAATGTGTATGTTTTACCACATGTGTTTGTATTATTTGACAAGTTTTGCGTGCCTAATATGAATTGTTCTTTGTGAATTTTTTAAACTTGTGCACTTTTGATATAGTAAAAAGGATAGATTATTAAGAGCATGAAGTGTTGAAGGAACAGAAGATGTCTTAGTTGACATTGTTTGAGCATGTTAACTTAGAGTTGTAGTGTAGCTGTTCAGTAGAAGTTTAGTAATTTTTTTTTATTCTAGGACAGAATGTGTGCATGAAGAGTTATTAAAGGCAGATTGTTTTACCCCATGCCCAACCATCATCTTCCCTCAATCACAATGAAGTTTGTGTTAAACATCAGACATTCCTTAATGCAGTCAAAATAAAGCTTAAACTTGATGCTTTCAGGCAGAAAAAGTATACACATTTTATTTACCTCCCTCCATTTACCTTTAATTGAAAATGTTAATTGGTATTTCCCACTTAGACCTTTGCTATCTATACATGTCAATTAAACCAGTGTATTATAGATATATTGATATCAACATGAAAACCCAGCTTGGTTTTTCCCGTGGTTAAGGGGAAATTGTCCAACTTACCAAATCCCCCCTTTTTTTATGTTTAACAGCTTTTATGAATGTTGCATGCTTAAATTTTTGGTGCATGTTTTCTTAACAGTTATAAAATTTTTTGGTGTCAGTTGATATGTAAACGGTAAAGCATAAATGGAATTTTACATGAAATAATTTGTTTTTCCTTCACAATATCACCAGTGTGATTATTCTTTGGGATAAAGTGTGTGCTGAACGCTATCACTTGCTTTCACTTGAACAAAATCGTGTTTGTTACAGTAATTGTGCGTTTTCTAAGCACACATTTCTCTCTGTATCTTGTCCTGTCTTCCTTTTTATTGTAAAAAAAAATGTCTTCTATATATATATGCATCTGGTTGTGGGGTTTGAGGTGACAGTGCTTACACTAATGCTTTTGCAGACTCCCCTCAAGTGGATGAGGACACAATAGAGAAAAGAGACCGTCAGGAAGCGGTTGAAGATCTCATTGATAAAATGAACCAGCTCGATACAGAGGCTCAGCCTTCTCCCGAGTCTGAGAGCTCTATGATTATACATGAGGATAAAGGTATACTAACTGTCAGTGCTTCTCGCTTCAGTGTGGCATTGGTATTTAGAAGAAACTACATTGAAATGCATTTCAAATGGATGGTTTAATATATTCATATATGTATACATGTATTGCAACTTTTTAAGTCAAAGCTTGAACTGGAATGCATTTTAATGAAGTTTAATTATATTTGGTATGTATTAATTTGCTTTTGGTTCATTCACTTCTCAACCCTCACGAAAAAGTCCTATAGGATCCTACAGGAAATTGGCCCATTTTCCTGTAGGATCCTATGAGATCTTATAGGATCCTACGGGACTTTTTCATTAGGGAATGCATAACTCGATTTAGTCAGCAACTCTTGTCTTTTAAATCCTATATACATATGTATTGGTAAATGCATGCTGCTGTTGATCTTTTAAGAGCTGTATACTCTTACTTTTGCTTATATGATCCTTGCTACAAAATGAGATCTGTGCTACTTCATTGCTCAATTCTGCTTTATTTTATACAAGTCATATTGTTATTCCTGTATAATTGAAAATGACATGTGTTATAAGGCATGGATATATTTGAAGGATGTGACTTGTAGTTTTGAATAATTTTGCCAAAAATGCTTATTGTTTGTGCTAAGTCTTGGGCTTCGTTCACATGGAATGTCTATTTTCTAAAAATCTATTTTCTATTTGCGCTATCTTATGATCACGGTCTGTGCACTGAATATCCCGCCGCGTAATTACTGGCAGCGCGAGCCAGTTACTTATAGTAACTTATTGTAACTGGCTCGCGCTGTCAGTAATTACGCCACGGGATATTCAGGACACATACCGTGATCATAAGACATACCGCGAATAGAAAATAGAATTTAGAAAATAGACATTGCATGTGAATGAAGCCTTGTTCTGCTTTGCCTTACACATTTAAGGTCTTATAAAACTTTTATAAATCTCTTTTATAAATCAAAAAGAACTTTGAGTTAGTGCTATTTGTAAACAGCTATCTTACAATCCAGATTATTGTTTTGAACTTTTTCAAAATTAATTTTATCCAAATATTTTTTCCCTTCAGATCATAATTGTATTCTGAACCAATGATTTCCCATAATTCAGTTCACACTGGTATCAAAACTATTTCTATACTTGTGTAAAGATATCTTTCAAGAAAAAAAAAGGAATTCCAGTCTTTGTTTTAAATTTAAAACATGGTGCATTTATGTTTCATTTTAGCACTTGTACCCGTTCATATCACATATATGTATATAATCTTTAGGTTGTAAGAGTGAGCTTTGAATGTGATAATCCACTTATTCAGTGCTACATATAAACAGTGTAACATAGCCGACTGATATGGATGTGTTATTTATTTTGCTGTCACAAAAGGCATTTAAACTTCATGTGCATATGGAAGTGATGGTGAATTGTATTATTTTGATCTCCCGTGCTTAATGACTAGCTGCTTTGTTGTACCCCTATTGCATGTTTTTTTCTGCCCTGCTCCTTGCAGATGAGGACAGCGAGAAAGCCCTGGATCTTGAAGGTGAACTGAAAACTCCTCCACCAAGTCCCACCGAGAAATCTTCAGGTACATACATCAACTACTAACTCAAGCATGTGTCTTGTTTGCAGTGACTAACATACAACTCCCTAGTGATTGTGTGCATTCTGTAACTTACCCGTGCTGGCTGTCATACCTTTTTATTATTATTATTATTATTATTATTATTATTATTATTATTATAACTTTTTCAGTGTCAAGTGTCTTAATTATCAGATATAAGGGACCAAGTTAATTTGAAAATGTGGCTTTTTTTGTGCCATGTATCCCTCTGTACCTCCCCCAGGACAGTGTAGTGTATCTTATTTTATTTTGTATTTCTTTCAGAAAAACCAATCAATGAACCTGATGTCCTCTTCATTTCTTCATTGGTTGGGTCGATCGCTGTATTAATTTTTCAACTCCTCATTTTCTTTCTAACGTCTTTATTTAACAGTGGGGTCCTTCAACAGGATTAACTGGTGGAGCACCCTGGTGGCCATGAAGCTCTTTTTCGTAAATGCTGCTGGCATTGTTATTGTGTTTTGTGTTTGTTGCTGCAGTAATTTATCCCTGCCGGCTTAGCCACGTTTTAAATGGAAAAGAGGCCAAGATGGCAGATGGCAATGAAAAAAAAAAGGGCCCAAAATATTTACATGTAAATCACTCTTTTTTGCTTTTTAGGTTGTATACTTGTTTGTGTCATTTGTTTGTCATTCAGTTTATCATTGCTTTGTATTTCATCAACTTTTTTTTTCATGTAAAATACAATTTAAAATCTCATCACAAGTCTTTCTATATTGAATTAATATTTTTGTCATTGGAGGTTGCGACAGTCAATATATTCATGACAATTACAAGAGTAGGATAATCCATAACATTTCTCAACTTTCATCTAGTATATGTTAACTAGCCAAGTCAGTGGATGGACCCCATGGATTTTTGAAGCTAAACCACTAGGAATGACTAGATATTTTTGCACTACACTATAGGAAGTCAATCCTTGCTAAAAACTAGCCTTTTTATTCGGATGTAAAAGTCCTTTATTTATGGTGTAACTCTTTCACCATTTAGTATAGGTTACGTGCGGGAATGACTAGGATTTTGCAAAAATAAATAAATAAATAAATAATAAAAAAAAAGAAGCCTGTGGCCTGTTGGTACTGGGTAATAAGAAAACTGGGATATATTCTTCGGGTTCTGGAATCCAGTTAACTTCTCAAGTAATATGTGGAGTGAATGTTTGGTCATTTCCAGATCTTTTTCCTAATGGCTGTGTCAGAGCATTTTGCATGGAACTAACCTCCAATTCATGTCATTCACCATTGCATCTCATCTTTATGTTCATTGTAATATGGTGTAGGGTACTGTGTAACATTCACCATCACTAATATGTTTAACTCCTGTCACAGTATGGTTTATATATATTTATATTTAGTGAAATCTTATTATATTACTATCCCATCACCAGGGATGCATGGGAACTAGCTGCTTACTCAGATGCTTAGTCTGCTTAGTCACATCACATGCTCATTCATCTCTCCCTCTACTTCCTTGTGCCTACCTGGTAGACGCCAAAGAATCCACACCTAGTAGTGAAGAGTTTGAGGAATACGAAGAAATTTGGGATGGCACCAAGTGGGTGCGGGTTAGAAAGCAGAGTCCAACAGGTAGTAGTACACAGTGTTGTTAGTGTATGGAGCTGGCAGACAGCATGTACAGCTTACTCTCTCATCGTGACAGTCAACCTCAGCATGTTTTTTTTTCTTTTATAACCTCCCATGATCCACCAGTCAAGATGTCTGACCTGATATGTTGGAATTGTATTGTTGTACTTCTGTACACTTAGTGTAGAATTTATTTCAAATATTTTCTTTCAAGTCTTTTAATTGTATCATTTCCCTTTTTCACTAAATTTGACAAAAAGCATGTTAGTATGATTGTATTGGTGATCCACACTATCTTAAAGCAAGGAATTAATCAAGATTTAACAAACCTTGCCTCTTATTACATGGCATTGCTCCCTAGTTCTTGTTTCACTCAAGTTGATGTTATGCTCAAAACAGCTTTCTCATGTAACCCTTTTTTTTTATTTTTGCACTGAGTCATTCTGAATTTATTAGCAATCATTGAAGCCAAAACGTTCCCTTGAAGCCGTTTTGTGGCAATAGCCCATCAATCTTTATTTAATTTTACAGATAATTCAAACAGTAGCTCTCAAAATTAAAGACTCCCTTATCTATCTATCTATACCATTTGGACTAATGGATTATTGTTTTTTTGCTGAAGGTTTAAAAGTAAATTATGGCATGTTGCTTAAAGTTAGCATAAGCATGATATTTTTTAGAAATTCAACTTCAACTTGGACTGTGGCAGAGATCTGAAATTGTCTAGTCAGAATCTTTTCCTGAGAGCAGAACTCATGCTCGTCAGTAGTAGAGTGATTAGTCTTTGCACCATGTGTCAACACCTGAATAGCTGTGTGTGGGGTTTTTGAAAAGCACTGGTCAGTTTTTGTCTTTTCCTCACAAGTAGCACATAGGTGTTAGTTTTCAGCAATTTTCCTTCTTAAATCTTGGCTTTCTTTACATCTCTTTAGGTGTAAAATGTTTTGTAACCATTCGGTGGAATATGTGTGTTTTAATATCCCTCAATTTTAACTTTTTTTCAGCTTAGGGTTTCCCCTGTAATACCACCAGCTGACTTACACAGCTCTTTTTAAAGCTTCTATAAAATTCTTGTCAGTCGTATTATTATGATTATTATGTTGTGTAGTTCTTGGTTGTAATGGTATAATGTTCTGACTTGTAATATAACTGACTGTTGTGGCTACTTTTATCCATTTTGGAAGATTTTGTTTCAGTAAGTGACCCTGTACATTTTTTAAGGCACAGGCATAGAAAAAAGGTTGCCTTAAAACTTGTGACTATAGAAAGACAAATCAGCAATCAGCGCTATAAATGCTTTGTACATGCCTGAGAACTTCCATACATTTGTGTTCCTGAATGATAGAAATTATTATATATTTTTATGCTAATTGATTACAATGAGATATGTTATCTGAATCTTTCTGGAATATCTGTTAAAATATATTTGAAGTGATAAAAGATAATTCTCTAAAGAGTTGGCTCAGTTAGTTTCTGAAACATTTATACATTGCATGCTTTAACCTCACTACACATATTAACACAGGAAAATCATGCTTTTTCAAAGTTTGTAGGTGTGTTTCACATTATAAATGTAAGGTTTATGTTACCAGAAGAATAAACTGGGAAGTGGAGAATCTAGGGTTAAGAGAACAATAATTGGTCATTCTAAAAAGGAAAAAAAAATCCAGTGATCTTATTGGAAAATGTTTGTTCCCTTCTAGAACCTCCGGCTGAACATGTCCCCGAGGAAGTGGCGGCCCGCTTGGCCACATCTGAACAGTGGACTTCCCAGGACGAAATGCTGGACCTTACCACTGAAGAACCACAGAAAGGTATGAGATCATAAACCCAACTTTATGGTAGGAAAATGTTTAGAACAAGACTTTGGGAGCATTTACTTGTGTTTATTGTAAAATTTGACCACCAGGGTTCACCATCTTGATGACTAAGAGTATTTCTTAAACCATAAACTGGCTTGAAATCTATTTCAATTTTAGGTACATTTTGAATTTTTTGTTGGTATGATTATAGCCTGCAGCCAATGAAACACAAGTAAATGAACTGTAGACTGGGTGTTAGATATAGATAGAAGTACAGATGTTCAAGAAGCAGTAGAACTTAACTAGATGCATTGTATATGTGTAGTTTAAACTGTAGAATTCAAAACAAAATGGAGCTGCTATTTTCTTAGAAGTTTTGTGGTATAGAATGATTGAATAATCTTTTAAAATAATGAATATGTAACTTATTTTGAATTTGATAGATAATTGGTAGGTTTTTGTTTTATAAAATGCATTCATGAATACGGATATTTTATATAGATATAACTTCAAGGTATTTCTCTTTTCCTGGGCCATTCCATGTACTCTGCCCAGTTACTGAAGGTCCATCAGCAGATGGAGATTAAACAGTTTGTCCGTACCCACATGAAATACCTAACAATGCTAACTGCTTCTTTAGCTTTTATTGAGCTTAACATTACTAGTGCTCATCCTGGCCTTGTTTGAGATAACAATGGATTTTGTTTGCATTGTTGATATGCATTTAAAAAAAAGCAGAGTTGTTTGATTTGAAATTGTTATTGGGTTGTTATTTTCTATACTAACTCTGTGTGATGCAAAATTTAAACTACACAAGCATAAAAATATTCTGAATATTTGTCTGACTTGAACATGAAGAATAATGGATGCAAAATGATATATTTGCATGAAAATAAAAATTTGGCATTACATGTGCATCAAAAATATATTTTGCAGCAGTAAACTATTTGAAAATTACATATTCTAGACAAACCCAGTGCTGATATGCGGTTTTGTGCCATTTATTGCTGAAAACTGCAATTTAGAATGGCTTTGTTTGCATGAAATATAAGCTAAAGCTAGCATAGTAAATATATGACACAATATATACCAAAACACCCTACGTATAGTTGCCTCCAGACAAAAAACTTTCATTCTATCTTGTTAATAAATATGCCTTGTAGAAACCTGCCATATATGCTTTTTCTTTAAAAAAAATAGTTCAAATCAATATCCAGTTTTTTTGCATGATGAAAATAACTGGAATGTTATAACATTATTTTTATTGTTTGTTTCTGTGAAAGTTTTCAAATATGTTTTTATGTTTGTTAGCCTCAAATGCATTAGGTACAAAATGATAATTTCAATTCTTTGTGCATGAAGGAAGTTTCAGGATAACATTCCAATTTGTTTATGTTATTACTCAATACTGAATGAAAGTTGAACATGTTGTGGTTGATTTCTATGCCTGATTTGTACAAGTGACACTCAGATTGCATTGTGGTGCTGTTTGTTTCTATTGAAATGCAGTTATGTGTTTAGCTTTCAACCATCAACCACACCTCATCCTATGCATGTTTTTATGAGAACCACCCCCAAACAAGACTTTCATTGATTCTTTCTCTTCTTTTCTCTTCTTTACTTTCTTACTTTCTTGGCCACATATCCTAAGCACATTTTGACTGACTGTAGTGAGCTAACAGAATGCTGGCATGCCAATTTCTGACCCACGGACAATCTGATTGATCATCCCACAGTGATGGCAACATGGAAGGGGGGATCTGCCCTGTCCATCCTGTCAGTCATTCAATATTAATTTCAGAACAACATGATGTCCCCTCTGATACAACCACTACCACCACCACCACAACACAGGTCATTTCACAGACAGAGTACAGAGAAACAATACCTGGTGAAGAGCTGGTATCACAAAGCCAGGAACCAGCCACTGAAACTCTACCAGAACAGGAACAACAGCTTGCGTCCCCAACATCTGAGCAACAGGTGGAAAGGCAAGCTCCTGAACAGGAGTTAGCTGACCTAGAAGCCAGACCTGCTGCTCCTCCTGCCTCACAGGAAGCTGGGGAATACCCACCTGGAGTTGAATCATTCCCAGCCAAGGAGCTTGAAGACATTGAGAGACATGTCAGAGCTCAGGAGCCTGTAGAACAGGCAGTTCCCCATGACTATCAACCACCCCAGGTAGAGGAGAAAGAGCAACCTCCTGTAGAGTCCTATCCTCCCCTTGAGCAAGAGACAATTGAGAGGGAACAGAAAGAACAGATGGCAGTTGGTGAAGAAACTGGACTGGAGCAGCAGCCTGCAGAGCAAGTAGGTGCACCCGCACCTGATCTTGAATCATTCCCACATCATGAAATTGAAGATCTTGAAAGGCACACAATGCGACAGGAGGTCATGGAGACAGAAGTTGTAACACAGAAACCCTCTGCTGCTGAAGAGCCATCTCCAGAAGATGATGTCACATCACATCCTCACCATGAGGAAGAAGACCTGGAGAGGCTACGGAAACAGCAAGAGGCTCCAGGGCAAGAAGTTGCTGAGCAAGAGCCACCAGCTTCCACACCAACTGAAGAAGTTTCTGATTTAACATCACTCCCCCATAAAGAAGCGGAGGATGTGGAACGCTTGGTACAGCAACAAGAGCCAAGAGATGATGTAATTCTTCCCCCAACACCTGAGGCAGAGATGGTCCAAGAACCATCTCCAGTAGAGACCTCCCCTGTCACAGAACAAGAGTTCATGGAAAGACATGTGCCTGCCCAAGAACCAGTAGATCAGCAGGTGCCAGAAGAACCAGCAGCTCCCCTTCCCCAGACACCTGAAGCAGAGATAGCCCAAGAACCTGCTCTAGTAGAGACCTCCCCTGTCACAGAACAAGAGTTCATGGAAAGACATGTGCCTGCCCAAGAACCAGTAGATCAGCAGGTGCCAGAAGAACCAGCAGCTCCACAACAGGAGTCTCCTAGAGAGGAATACTCACCAGAGGGTGCCACTGTACCTGCTGAAGAAATGGTGAGACCAGGTGAGACTGTACCAGAAGATGACATGATGGGTGAGCCACAAGTTCATTCAGAGGACTTGGAAGGAGGTATCAAACTGACAACAGAGACAACTGAAGGAAAGCCACATACTACACAAGATGTAGAAGAGTTTGAGGAAACGTTACCAGATGGTACCGTGGTGAAACGTAAAGTAATCAAGACAAGAACTACCAAAATGGTCACGAAGAAGGTTGTTGCTGAGGGCCCAGACAAGGAAGACCTCCTCCAAGCAGCAATGAGTCAACAAGAACCTGAGTTCCAGGGAGAAGACCAACCTGGTTTTGCTCCAGGACATATTGTTGTCGAAGAAAGCCAAGGAGAACCAAAATCACACACTGATGTTGAAGAATTTGAGGAAACTCTACCAGATGGAACCATAGTCAAGAGAAAAATCATCAAGACCCACACAGAACAAACAACAGCTAGGAAGATAGTGATGGAAGGCCCTGATGGACAAATGATTGAAGAAGAAGCAGGGGAGGATGAATTCCTTCCAAAGGGCCACATTTTGCACAGTGAAAAGATTGAAGGTGAACCTCAAACAGAGACAGATGTTCAAGAATTTGAAGAAACCCTGCCTGATGGCACAGTTGTCACAAGGCGAGTGGTGAAGACACGCACCACACAAAAAGTGACACAGAAAGTGTTCACAGAGGGCGAGGATGAGGAAGATGAAGGTGTAGAAGAGGGTGAAGAGCAAGGTAATTAATGACTGCAGCCTCAGCTTGCAGCATGCTTCACTCAGCTTCTTTCTGTATGTTAAATTCTAAGTCTTTGTAGTGACTCTTTTGGCAATTTTTGACTAGTTTCCATATTCATATTAATAATTTTTCATTTTTATGGTAGGTAATGGTTGAGAAATTTAATCGTTTTTACTCTTCATATATAGCATAATGCAAATGTTCATAAATGACATTTTTTTATACAAAGCTGTACGCTTCTGAAGCTTAGCCATATAGATGTATACCTCTACATTTGCTTTAATGGACAATTGTTAAATAAGTTCCTTTTAAGTAAATTTCTGAGGATTTATCTGGAAGTTCTGCAAGGCAATTGCTGTTCAATAATTTGCTTTGCTTTAGATATTTTGTGTCAAATGAAAATATTGTTGTGTAGAAAATATGTTAAATGTAAAATATTATAAAATATGATATTTTGATGCAACATTGAAATCATTTATCTACTGTTTCTGTGTGCACTTGATATATTTTTTTGTCATTTCTCAAAAACAAAATGACAATTCTCTTGTGAGTGTGAGGTTCATTTTACACGAAGTGGTTGTTTTCTAATTCACTAAGTCATTGTTAAGTATATATTCCAAAACATGGTGTTTCCATATGCTGCAACACTGCCAACTTAACTGAAGTTTCAATGTTACTGACCTTGTGCATTATCTCATCCTTCTGATCTTTGTGTCTTTACAAACCGTAATTGAACATATGAATGTTGTCATCCGTAGCCATATTGTGGATATAGATCTAAGGTTTAGTTACTGTGTGAATTTGAAAAGAAGCATGTTTGATGTAACTGTTGATGTTTATTACTGTGGTCCAGGTATTAGAAATGATTAAATTAAAGTGCTGTTGCATCCTTTCAGACAAGATTTCATGAACACATCTTCATCTTGACATGAGTAGATTGAAAAAAATTATATATTTTGTTACTTACTGGCAACAAAATCAGACAGTTTCTTGTAATGCCTAGACCACATTTTTGCATGCAGGATTTGATAAACTGTTAAGTAGTTCTAGAAAGTTGTATAAACCATGATGTTTTGATTGTTAAAACACATTGTTAACTCTTCAAGAAAGAACTCATATTTCTACTTTTTTTGTGAATTCCTACAAGGCATGTCTTTTTTTGCCAAGTCTGTAAAATTGTTGTAGCAGTAGTATGAACTGTATGAATATTTTTTCCCTGTTCAAAGTTGAAAGGATAACACTTTTTTTCCATTGGCTGGTGAAGCATGGTTAATTGGTTAGTTATAATAGAGGCTCCAAGTGTTTGTTATTAATTCTTTGCCCTTGCCTTCCTCATCTGCTCTCAAATGGATAGAATGGAGAGAACTGGAAGAAAGCGGTTACCCAGATCGCCATGTTAAGAAAGTTTCTTTCGAGCCTGGAACTATAGACAATGAAGAGAGAGAGGAAGAGGAGGTGGATGTGGAAGATGAGGACACACAACAAGGTAGATGTCTCTTTTGATCAAGACACTCTCAATACAACATCAGTATACACCACAAGCACACAACTTGATCACAAAAAATGCAGTGCATGGTCTTTTGACTCCTAAAATGTTAACATAATAGAAAGGATAAATCACTTCTGTATCAGAAGTTGCTTTGAACTCTCATTTATTGCTATCTACTATAATAAAAAGGTAATTTTATTTGCTATATTGGTAAATGTATGATACTGTTTTCCTTTTTATAAAAAAGGGATCCTTTATCTGGCTCATTTCTCTGAATGTGCCACTGCAACTTGGCCATGATACATTTGATCACAATGGCTTCATTCTAGTTTAGTTTTAAAAACATGGCAATTTTTTTTCAAATTGCTTTGAAAGGTGCTATATGGTTGATGGTTGAATGAATCGAATGTTTGTTTATCAAGAGATCAACATAAACCACATCATTTAGTTTTTAGTTTTTTTAAAAAATATTTTATTATGGAGAAGAAAATACCTGAGGGGAATACAAGTTCATTTAGTGTGTACAGCATATTGCCATATTGCTATTTTACAGTCTTTGGCCATGGGCCACCACTGATAACAATAACACAGCACAATAGTATAGAATGGGATGATGATTATGCTAGATACTTTGGAGTGTCACAAGGTACCATAGAGTGACAAGTTGTGGTGTATTTTTATTTTTTATTTTATTTTTTCCTCTCATTTATGCAGTGTATGGTGGTTATCCTTTTAGGATAAGAAGTTTAGATATTAAACCTTTTTTTTTTTTTTTTGCTGTGTGACTTCAGATATTTTGAAATAGATTTGCTTATGTTAGTACGATTTTAATGCTGACAACTGACATATCTCTCTATATATATTTCCTCGGCAATTTCAGACACCCAGGAGCTTGAGCAGTCTGAGGAAGAAGGTACTTTCTACATCCAGCATTCATTTATTTCATGTTTTTTTATTATTTTAATTATTTACCAAATGTATCCATGTTGTAATCCTAAGTTTGCATGCCCTGCAACAAATGCACTTGGGTTTGAATGGCTTCTGTTGTCCAGTGGCATGTCCACTTCAGATCAGTACGCTGCTGAGTACAATATGTTATGTTGAATGTTTAGTGGTCAGTTTGGTGTCACATTCATGACAGTTTCTTTGCCATTATGATTATTGAATTTCCTTTCAGATGAATTGATTCTAATAACCAATTTTTTAAAGCTGTGTAGCTATTCACTGATAATAATGTTGTTATTAAGAGCCCACACTGTAAAAGTCTTGAGTCCTAGATATTAACAGTTCCACAGAAAACTAGTTCTTTCTTCAGTTTGCTTCAGTACTTCTTGCTTTGCCTGGTATGCTTCTCACTTCAGTTTTGGGTTTTCCTTTTTCTATTTTACATTCCTAACATCTGTTTCTCTACTCTCTCTTTATTTACTCTTTCTCAGCCATTAACATCAGACATTACTGTCTTTTCTTTCCATGCCTTCTCTCTGTGGATGCAACACAGGTGACACAGAGGACAGTAAGAGACAGTCTGTGAAATCTATGATTTCTATGTTTGAGGAGAAAGCTAAAGAGCAGGAATACACTGCTACTAAAACACACACTGAAATAGGCAAATTACACATATATTCCCTGTGGGAACATGATCATATTCCAAATGGTGCCGATGAGGGTGTGGCTAACATATATAAGTCTGTTGACATTTCTAGAAAAGAACAAATCCCAAAACACACTGAACACTTTGAAGTCAAGCAGGCAGAACCTGTAGTGATTGAAGACCAAAGCATTTCAGAGAAAACTAAGCTATATGATGAATATACGGAGGAAATACAGGAGGGAATTGCACCAACAATCATATCTGAAGTAGAATCTTATAAAGAAACTGAGTCTGAGTCTTCTGAGAGCGAACAAGAAGGGAAAGAGGAAATTATCCCAGCAATAGAAACTGAAATAGAAGCCTTTAAAGGAACTGAACCTAAATCTCCTGAGGGAGATCATGAAATCAAAGAGGAACTTGTCCCAGCAATAGAAACTGAAATAGAGACCTGTAAAGAAAGTAAACCTGAATCTTCTGAGGAAGAAGAAGAAATCAAGGAACAAACTAAACCTGAAGTTGAGGTTTATAAAGACACTGAACTCGAATCTTCTGAGGGAAAAGAAGTCAAAGAGGAAATTCTACCAGTGGTAGAACATAAAGCAGAGGCCTATAAAGAAACTGTGCCTGAGTCTTCTGAGGAAGAGCAGGAAATCAAGGAGGAAATTATCCCAGAAATTAAACCTGAAGTAGAAGCCTTCAAAGAGACTGAACCAGAGTCTTCTGAGGAAGAACCAGAAATCTTGGAGGAAATTGGAACAGAAACTGAACCTGCAGTTGAGGTCGATAAGGAAACTGAACTTGAATTATCGCAGGAAGAAGGAAAAGAGCAAATTTTATCAGAACAGGAAATAAAGCCCTATAAAGAAATGGAGCCTGAACCTTCTGAGGAAGAACCAGAAGAAATCAAAAAGGAAATTGTACCAGCAATAGCACCTGAAGCAGAGGCCTATAAAGAAACAGAGCCTGAATCTTCTGAGGAAGAAACAGAAGAAATCAAAGAGGAAGTTGTACCAACAATAGCATCTGAAGCAGAGGCCTATAAAGAAACAGAGCCTGAACCTTCTGAGGAAGAACCGGAAGAAATCAAAGAGCAAGTTATAGCAGCAATAGCATCTGAAGCTGAGGCCTATAAAGAAACAGAGCCTGAACCTTCTGAGGAAGAACCAGAGGAAATCAAAGAGGAAGTTGTAGCAGCAATAGCATCTGAAGCTGAAGCCTATAAAGAAACAGAGCCTGAGCCGTCTGAGGAAGAACCGGAAGAAATCAAAGAGGAAGTTGTACCAGCAATAACATCTGAAACTGAGGCCTATAAAGAAACAGAGCCTGAACCTTCTGAAGAAGCACTGGAAGAAATCAAAGAAGAAGTTGTAGCAGCAATAGCATCTGAAGCTGAGGCCTATAAAGAAACAGAGGCTGAATCTTATGAGGAAGAACCAGAAGAAATCAAAGAAGTACCAGCAATAGCAACTGAAGCAGAGGCCTATAAAGAAACAGAGGCTGAATCTTCTGAGGAAGAAACAGAAGAAATCAAAGAGGAAGTTGTACCAACAATAGCATCTGAAGCAAAGGCCTATAAAGAAACAGAGGCTGAATCTTCTGAGGAAGAACCAGAAGAAATCAAAGAAGAAGTAATCCCAGCAATAGCAAGTGAAGCAGAGGCCTATAAAGAAACAGAGCCTGAATCTTCTGAGCAAGGACCAGAAGAAATCAAAGAGAAAGTTGTCCCATCAATAGCAACTGAAGCAGAGGCCTATAAAGAAACAGAGCCTGAATCTTCTGAGGAGGAAATAGAAGAAATCAAAGAGGAAGTTGTACCAACAATAGCATCTAGAGCAAAGGCCTATAAAGAAACAGAGACTGAATCTTCTGAGGAAGAGCCAGAAGAAATCGAAGAGCAAGTTTTACCAAAAATAGCATCTGAAGCTGAGGCCTATAAAGAAACAGAGCCTGAACCTTCTGAGGAAGAACCAGAAGAAATCAAAGAGCAAGTTGTCCCATCAATAGCAACTGAAGCAGAGGCCTATAAAGAAACAGAGCCTGAATCTTCTGAGGAGGAAATAGAAGAAATCAAAGAGGAAGTTGTACCAACATTAGCATCTAAAGAAGAGGCCTTTAAAGAAACAGAACCCGAATCTTCTGAGGAAGAACCAGAAGAAATCAAAGAGGAAGTAATCCCAGCAATATCAACTGAAGCAGAGGCCTATAAAGAAACAGAGCCAGAATCTTCTGAGGAAGAACCGGAAGAAATCAAAGAGGAAGTTGTCCCTGCAATAGCACCTGAAGCAGAGGCCTATAAAGAAACAGAGCCTGAATCTTCTGAGGAGGAAATAGAAGAAATCAAAGAGGAAGTTGTACCAACATTAGCATCTAAAGAAGAGGCCTTTAAAGAAACAGAACCCGAATCTTCTGAGGAAGGACCAGAAGAAATCAAAGAAGAAGTCATCCCAGCAGTATCAATTGAAGCAGAGGTTTATAAAGAAACAGAGCCAGAATCTTCTGAGGAAGAACCAGAAGAAATCAAAGAGGAAGTTGTACCAACAATAGCATCTGAAGCAGAGGCTTATAAAGAAAAAGAGGCTGAATCTTCTGAGGAAGAACCAGAAGAAATTAAAGAGGAAGTTTTACCAACAATAGCATCTGAAGCAGAGGCCTATAAAGAAACCGAAGCCGAATCTTCTGAGGAAGGACCAGAAGAAGTCAAAGAGGAAGTTTTACCAACAATAGCATCTGAAGCAGAGGCTTATAAAGAAACAGAGCCTGAATCTTCTGAGGAAGAACCAGAAGAAATCAAAAAGGAAGTTGTACCAGCAATAGCAACTGAAGCAGAGGCCTATAAAGAAACAGAGCCTGAATCTTATGAGGAAGAACCAGAAGAAATCAAAGAAGAAGTAATCCTAGCAGTATCAACTGAAGCAGAGGCCTATAAAGAAACAGAGCCTGAATCTTCTGATGAAGAAACAGAAAAAATCAAAGAGGAAGTTGTACCAATAATAGCATCTGAAGCAGAGGCCTATAAAGAAAAAGAGGCTGAATCTTCTGAGGAAGAACCAGAAGAAATCAAAGAGAAAATTGTCCCAGCAATAGCAACTGAAGCAGAGGCCTATAAAGAAAAAGAGGCTGAATCTTCTGAGGAAGAACCAGAAGAAATTAATGAGGAAGTTTTACCAACAAAAGTATCTGAAGCAGAGGCCTATAAAGAAACAGAAGCTGAATCTTATGAGGAAGAACCAGAAGAAATCAAAGAGGAAGTTGTATCAGCAATAGCAACTGAAGCAGAGGCCTATAAAGAAACAGAGACAGAATCTTCTGAGGAAGAACCAGAAGAAATCAAAGAGGAAGTTGTCCCTGCAATAGCACCTGAAGCAGAGGACTATAAAGAAACAGAGCCTGAATCTTCTGAGGAGGAAATAGAAGAAATCAAAGAGGAAGTTTTACCAACATTAGCATCTGAAGCAGAGGCCGTTAAAGAAACAGAGCCTGAATCTTCTGAGGAAAAACCAGTGGAAATCAAAGATGTTTTTCCATTGATAGCAACTGAAGAAAAAGCCTATAAAGAAACAGAGCCTGAATTGTCTGAAGAAGAACCAGAAGAAATCAAAGAGGAAGTTGTACCAGCAATAGCAACTGGAGCAGAAGATTATCAGGAAACAGAACCTGAACCATATGAAAAAGAACAAGAAATCAAAGAGGAAACTGTGCTGGCAATAGGACCTGAAATAGAGGTATATAAAGAAACTGTCCCTGAATCTTCAGAGGAAGAAGAGGAAATAAAACCAGATATAAAAGCTGAAATACAGAGTTACATAGAAACTGAGCCTGGGTCATCACAGGAAGAACAGGAAGAATTCAGAGAGGAAACTGAACTGGCAAAAGAACCAGTAGTAGAATCCTGTAAAGAAATAGAACGTGAATCTTTTGAGGAAGAACAGGAAGAAGTGAAAGAGGAAGTTGCTTCAGCAGTAGCAACTGAAGCAGAGTCCTATAAAGAAACTGTGCCTCATTCGTTGGAAGGAGAACAAGTGAGGGGAGAAGCTGCACAGTTAAGAGCAGAAACGCTGAAAGCCACTGAACCAGACATTACTCTTAGATCTGATGTATTTCAAAGTGAACCTCACGTCACTCATGATGTAGACGAATTTGAGGAAATCTTATCTGATGGAACAGTTGTAAAGCATAAACTCATCACAACTAAGGCCACAAAAACAATTGTTAGAAATGTATTAGCAGAAGGTGATGACAAGGAGCTGTTACAGCTTGCTGCAGAAAAAGTAGACACAGGTGATAAAGAATTGGGTGAAGACTTTGAATTTTCAGAAGACCATTTCAAAGACAAAGGAGAAATGTCATCTCATACAGAAGTTGAAGAATATGAAGAAGTTTTGCCTGATGGTACTTGTGTTCAAAGAAAGATTATAAAGACTGAAACATTTCATTCTGTGTCAAAAGTGCAAGAGGTATCTTTGCCCAGTGAATTACCCAGTGAGATTAAACAACCTTGTGATGACTACACAGTGGATGCTGAGGAGTCTGAATCTCCTTCAAGCAGTGTAGAAATGGTGAAAGAATTTTCACCAACTTCTGTGATACCAGACAGGACGGACTTCACTCTTTCAGAAGATGAGGAGGCCCATGAAATAAAGGAGGTAGAAAAATTTACAGATTATTCTAGAGAAACTGTGTCACAAATTGAATTATTGAAAGATATATCTCCAACAGTAACAGTGCCAGATATGAAATTAGAGCACCAGGAAATTGAACTGGAGTTGCAGACAGGTGATGTTTCTGATATCTGTGATTACCCACCATTTGGTGCATCTGAACACTTGGCAAGTGATGAAGGTGACCAGGAAAAAACAGAATTTTCTGAACAGTTGGAAACTTATCCAATTGAAGATCTACATGAAGATAGTGAAGTGGCAGATTCCATACACAGTCCTGTCCAAATGATGCCAAGGTTTTCACCAACAGCAATTTTGCCTGATAAAATTGATGATTATCCTGAAGAACCAGATGAGGAAATTGCAATGAAACAGGATTATGTATCTGCCACAGAAACATATGAGAGCACTACAGAAACTGAGGGTGAGGAGCATACCTGGGAAAAATCTACGGTGCATGAAGAAAGTACTACAGAAACTGAAGGTGAAGAGGATGTGTTGGAAGAGCCTGTTTTGCATGAAGTAATGAAGTCAAGTGAAAGTGACAAAGAAATGAGTGAAGATACTGAAATATCTCCAAGTCATAGCCCTGTTGAGCTTGTTAAAGAATTTTCCACCACTGCTTTTATTCCAGCAGATGATAAATACAGTGCAACAGAAAGTGAAACAGATATAACTTCGGAAAAGGTATCACTGTCCTTAAAGGTTTCGGAACTTACAACTGAACCAATGTCAAGTGATGTTGGAAGTGAATTTGAAATGGAATATACCAAAACTGAAATTGAGGAAGAAGAGGAAAGATCACCTCAGCATACACCAGTTGAAATGGTCCATGAAATAATTCCTGTGATGAATGTTAAGAGAGAGAGTATAGGAGATGCCTTAGACTCACATGAAATTGAAAGGGATCATGAGCAATATTGGTTAGAGGAAAAAACAATTTCTGAAAGTACAGTATCAAAATCCATCACAGCTCACAGTGAAGAGGGACAAGAACAAAAGACTGAGAGTGAAATTGAAACAGATTATTCACCTGTAGAATCCCTAAGTCATGAAGGTTTCTCTGCCGTAGAAACCAAAGAGGATTTAGATGAACTGTTCAGTAGAGGTGCAACTACTACTTCTGGCCAAGGATCTGGGACTTCAGGTGGGAGTGATTTAGAGGAGGAAGGGGAATTGATGCCTGCTTATGCAAAGCAAGTATCCATTGGTCCTGTTGAGCATATTTCAATGTCAGAACATCTTCAGTTAAGCGAAGACCAATCATCAGAATTAGCTCCTCCTCTCACTTCTAGTGAGGATAATTCCAGTGAGGATCCATCTGTAGAGGTGGGAAGAAAATTTTCTGATGTTAAAGTTGATGAACTTGACTTGCAAGGAATTGGGTCAGACTTTCCTGTTGTTTCGGAAACTGTCACCACATATGATATGTCAGATGAAGAAAAAGAGGATGACGAAATTGAAACTGATCATAAAGAACATGTCATAGACTACAATGAAGATGATAAGCAAGTAGAAGATGCAGATGACCGCTCTGCCCCTGCTTCCAAAGGTGGCTACATCCCTAGTTATGAGCTTCGCCTCTCTCTGCCAAGCCTAATTCCTACATCCTCAATGGAAGTTCAGGATCGTTCAAGCAGTTCTGCATCAGCAGTCGAGTCTCCAAGTGAACATAGTCAGGAGGAGGAACGCCCGCTCTCACCAAGTGATTACTTTCTTGAACCAGAATCTCATGGAGAAACACAAGTTAAAGAGGATCACGTTGCAAGACTAAGTAGTGACATTTCACAACAAATATTCATTGAACAATCCATCGAGGTCAGTTCTTCACAGCAAAGGAGATCTCTATTTCTTGAGAAAGACAAAAGTTATGAAGCTGACACAGAGGCAGAAAAAGTATCTCCAGCCCAAGAGGACAAGTTCTGGATAGAACAATATGAGCCTACAGCTAAGGAACCATTTCCAGCTTTTCCACGGTTGCCATTAGACTCTGAGGCTCCACCCTCACCATCACATTTTACTCTTGTAGTTGAACCCAAGGACCAAGAACCATTGGAATTGGATGGTGAAAAATCTGAGGTTGAGCTTTCTGAAAAACTAACATCTGATCTTACAGAAATTGATGGCTTTTTACTAACAGATGGAGAGCATGTGGTTGATGCTTATGCACAGGTTGAGGCATGTGGTGAACAGCAAGATTTACTCCGCTTCGAGCCTGGTGCTGTGGACAAACCTGCCCTTAAAGAAGAAGGTATTTACACGTTGACTCTTTGCTTGCATGCTGCTGTACTGTATACAATATCTATACAATACAGTTGCTTTCTTCTTTTATTTCTTTCATCTCTTAACATGTTGTCTTGTAAGTCTATGTAGGTCTGTGGAACAAGGATTCAAGCATTGGTCTGGCAGCCCAGGGAAAAACCAGGGGGTTCATTCACGCCTGCTTTCTAAGGGGTACACATCTGCACTCTGTAATAAAGTAAGCAGTCCATGCTTGTTTTCAGTTGCAATCAGTCAGTGTTACCCCTTCCTTAGTGTCATATTGACTTTTCCCCCTTTATTTGCCCCACAGACTTAGGTGCCCATGGGGAGGCCCATTATGACGATAGTTACCCAAGAAGTGCGGATCTACTGGGTGATATCGATGAGGAAGATGAAGAGTATGATGAGTTTGATGACTTAGATCATGCCAGGGAGCCAGATGACCCAGCTGTTGATGTAACTGATGATGAATTGGAGGATGAAGATGTTGTAGTGTCACCTTCAAAGCCTGTGATTACCACTCCATCATTCAGGCATAAGCGTAAACCAAAAGTAAAAATCAGAAAGTACCCTTCTCCTATAGATGTCACTTTTGAGTCTGGCCTTGATCAGATAGATGATAGCACCACCCCTGAACCCATCATAGAAGAGCCCAAAGAAAAGTACAGGTCCCATTCTTTGGATGTGGGTCAGATGCTACATGAGCATGACTATGTAGAAGATTACAAAAGTGAAGGTCTTCCAGCCCAAATGTCTATGGATGAAGACTTGTTATTGGCATCACAAAGAGGTATCAGATGATTCCTAATCATTTTATTTTCAAATTATTACATATTATGAGTTCCCTCCCACCTATCCTGGCTAACCCAATGTATATTCCTGTCTAACTGCTTGCAGCATCCTCCCAGTAAAAACTCAAAGTATGAATATTAAAAGGCTCAGTTTTATGTACATATTTAATATTGGGTGCAGGCGTGTATTCTGATATTCACCATATACTCATACATATCCATTGCTTGGGTACCTTATATAAATATCTATATATCTAAGATGTTATATTGAATAATATTTAAGTATATATATACAGTATAATATATATAAGTATATTAACTCATCACGTAGGTCATCGCAGATCAAAAAGTATGAATGCTGCAATACCAAGTCCGTCAAAAGGTACTTGTTGTCATGTGTGTCTGCAGTGTTTCTTTGGATGAGACAACTTTTATCAATTAACTTTCAGGCTTCAAAAACATCAAGCATTGTTGATTTGTCTGATCTTGTTATGAATTTCAGCATTTGACATTTACAGCATGGTTTGGACCTATTCTGCAGATCCACAGGGCACAGATATATCTGTTCTTATCTGATCAATAGACTAGCTTTTAATTGAATAAGAAGGAACATGAATAGCCTTCAAATATCTTTGATGATCACTTTATGATACAACTATTAGATTGTTGACAAAGGCTGTGTTTTGCTTGTTGTTCTCCAGCATGCCTTTTTGTGCATACGAACCTTTTGTGCAGATGGTTTTTGGTTACTAACACAGCCTAACCTCCTTTTCTCCAGATTCCATATTTGCAGCCCACGAGAAGAGCACAGGGGATGATACTATGGTGATGGAGGAAGACCCTTTCTCTAAACAAACTTACTCCCTTAATCTTGCCACTTCTCCCAATGTCATGAGATCTCCCCCTGAATCCGTATCTCCAGTAGATGAGACTGTTATTTCCAGTCCCGATAAAACCCCTGACCAAGTGAGAAATGTTCAGATCGGTGTCTCTCCAAGTGTTAGTCATGAAGCCATGTTTCATGAGCCTCCACCTGTATTGGCAGGCCGTGTGGTATCAGGAGAATTTGAGGATAAGATCCAAGAAGATGAAGGTATCTCTGAATTTGTTAACAAAGATGAGAAGGATACCCATGTGGAGGTGGAACAGGATACAACAGAGGAAGAGCCACATGCATCTCACCGAGAGTTTTTGTCTTTTGATAACATGGCATTTGAGGGCATGGATGATGGTGATGAAGGCAATATACCCTACCCAGCTGATATCAGCCGTATTGAAGAGGAACCTGAAAGTCATATTCAGGATGTACCTCAAACAGATACTCCAATGACACAGTCTTACTCTGGATCTGACATGACAACCTCATACACTGGGTCTGTCACAGAGAAATCTGAAATTGAACCAACATATGAAGAGGATTCGGTACACAAAATGGCCTCTTATGAATCTCGCGAGGAGAGGACACCTGTTGCTGAGGATCAACCATCATTTCCAGATGGAGTTGCCAGGCAAGTAAGTGAACCCCATGATGAGCTTACAGATACATATGAAGCTAGCGTGATTGAAAGTATTTTATCGAAGCACAGGGATGGAAGACCTGAAGTGATTCCAGAAGAAAAATACATCATAGACATGAGTGCAGAAGTTGCTGAAACAGCCTTACAGGATAAATCTGATACTGAAGTAAAAAGAGTGTCTTGGGCATCCACGGAAACATCTTCAGATACTGTGACACCATATGATACGGCACCAACATCAATGGAGACCTCACAAGAGTATCAGAGCCCAGATATGTGGAGCTCTGGACAGTCTGTTGAAGATTCGACACCTACACAAGAGCACAAACACTTCCAACAACACCAGGATGAACCAAACAATATTCCAACAGTTATTGAAACTGACCCATATAATGTACTTTTGATACGTCAGTCATCAGAAGAGGCTGACATGACCCGCTCCTGCTCCATTGATAGTGAGGAACTGGAGACCACATACACTAGCACACAGGAGATGCAGGAAGAGATGCAAACAGAGATCACAAGTACAAGTCCTATGCCAATGTTCCATGAACCTCCAGTAGCTGGAGAATTCAGTGAGGAAGAGGATGATAACCACCGGCGAACTAAAAGTTCTGGATCGGAGAAACCGAAGGAATCGGCCTCAAGCGAAGACTTTGTAAAGTCATCTGTTTCTTCAGATGCATCTGCAGAGCCAGTCTTACTGGCTGCTACTTATGATCTTGATTCTGGTCATGTTTCACGTGTTGTCACAACATATGACCTTTCGCCTGATACTGTTGACAAGCAGATGCCCATGGATACTGGAGTTAAGGTGATTTTATCCAGTCCAGAAGATGAGGTTTTTGAGACTGATACACAGGAAGAAAAATCACAGGACACCCATGAAGAAATGACCAAAGAAACAATAGAAACTGTGAGTGCAGAACTTGTAACTTCACAAGTCAGTACTGATCAATCAGATACAACAGAATCTTTCCCACCCTCCCCTTTCCAAAGCCCTTTATCTGAACCAGATGAAAAAGATGCTGAAGAGGACTTAGGGAGTCCTTTTGAAGTCCTCTCTCCATCTGAATTTGAAGATTATGATAGTTTTGTGGCATCTGGGCATGCTTTCGAGATTGATGCAGCTGTAGAAGCAGCAGCCTTGGCAGCTCAGGCTGCTCGCTACAAACATGATCATACTACTCACCCAGAACCTTCTGCTCCACCACCAGAGGAAATTAGTTTCCAAGATGAGACAGTACCAGCTGAGGATGAAACACCCTCATTTGAAGAACCAGCCTCTGCCAGTAGCAGTGACCATGATCTCAGTCCATTGAAAGAAATGGGATATATAGCTCCAGCAGTTCCAGAAGAAGAACCAGGAGAAATCAGTGATGTTGCAGAAGATGAGCTCAAATTAGAAACAGAAAAAGATGAAGAGAAGGACGAACTGGAAGATGAAGCAGACCAATTAATGAATGGACCAACAGAAGTAGAATATGTGGCAAATATTGATGACTTTGTAATGGCATCTCCAGTGACTGAGGAGCAACAACAATCTGACTTGGAGAGCCCTACCAAATGTGAAACAGAAGTTGAAGTGACAGAAAGAGAGGAGCAACCAGAGACTGAGGATATTCAAGACACATCAGTGTCACAAGTCATTGGGCAGGAAACTCAAGTGACATCCACACCTGAAATGACAACTGAAAGTTTAAGAGAGGATTTGCAGCCTCCTATTCCAGATCACATGGTGACATCTGATCAGTCCACCCTGTATGACTTTGAAATGCCGGCATCTGAGGAGGCCTCAGTACCTCCCTCCATGAGTACTTCGTTTGAGCCATCCAGTGGCTTGTTTGAAGATTTAGAGCAGTCTGATATTGGATTTGGGAAATATGAAGACCTGAGCTATGATGGAAAGGATTATTTGGTCAGTGAAATTTCCTGGGATCAAAGCCATCAGGAGCCAGCAGCAAAACAGGATGAAGAAACATTTCAGTATGATCCCACTGAATCACATGAAGAGGAAGAAGCAGTCATGGTTGAGGCAGTAACACCTGAACAACCTGCTGTTGCAGGGCTGTCTTGGATGGAAGAGATGACAAGGACAGAGCACAAAGAATCTCACCAAACTCATGAGTCTCATATTACAGAGGAAACAGATTCTGGTGTTTATAGGCAACACATGTGGATGGAGGAGACACAGGAAAGTCATACTCTAAGACAGATGGTAGAAAGTGCTATGTATGAAGAGACAGGGACCCCAGATGATATATCTCCTGATGATAAAATTGAAGCAGAACCAGAGAGTTCAGATAAACTTGAACCAGAACTGCAGGATCTACAAGAAAGCCGCCCAGAATCAGAAACAAAGGACTACCCAGATGTAGAAACAGTAGATGACCAAACAGATGCTGACATACATTACTCACATTTTGAAAAAAATGTAGATGAAGAGGATTTGGATAGACCAATGTCACCAGAACCTGACAGCACCTTATTTGAACAACCAACTGTAACAGCACCAGAGCCTGAGGAAGAGGAGGAATTTGATCAGGAGGATGGGAGACACAGTTCAGCTTTAGCAGAAGCTCATATGCTGCACCATGATATGGCTTATGAAGATAGAGAACAAAGCCAAGAACCTGAAGAAGATAGGGACTTTGATGAACACCTTTTGGAGAGAACAGCTGCGCAGTTTGTTGGCAATGTTCTACAGGAGGCACAAGATATGGTTCAGCATGAATACCAAGAGCCATCGGATGAAGAAATGGATGAAGAGGAACAGGAAGAGAACAGACGGGAAGAAAATCAGGCAGAATCACCACAAGAGGCAAATAACTTTGTTCAGTTTGAAGTACACAGAGAGTATGACCCCGAGAGCAGCGATGAATCTGAAGGGCACAGGGAAGGTGTATATGGTCTTCAAAAGATCCAAGAAGAACCATATGAGGAAGCTGCTCCTGAAGGCACTGCAGTTAAACCAGTGGCAGTCGTCATGCCCATGACTGAACACGGTGAGGACATTCCTGAGATTAAAGTTACACAGCACTCCAGTGACGGGGATGAACAGATTGTGGAGACAGAAATTGAAGGATACTCTTCCCCAGAAGATGAGCATCTTAGGGATGTCGAACCAGAACAAGATGTATTTGAAGGTGCAGGAGAAGAGCCAAAGGAAGAGGAAAAGGACACTGAGCAGATTGAAAGTTACATGGAAGTCTCTGATCATAAACCATTGGCAATGGACTATGAAATGAAGGAGAGAGATGAAATTGAGGAAGATGAAGATCAAGAAATGGGAGTTGATGAATCTCGAACTACTGACTCACCAGAAGAAGAGAGTCTCCGTGATATGGTGAATTTTGTGATAACCCAGGAATCCAGTATAGATGAAGAACCAAAAGTATCAGAGGATGAATTAGAACAAAAAGAAGCTAAGCCTATTATGGCAGTGGAGCCTAGTCAAGAAGAAAAACAATCAGTATTAGAACCACAAGAATTAGAATCGCTAGAACAGCAGCATACTAAACATGACACAAAAGATGAAAAATCTGATGAATCGGCTTCAGAAACAGCTGCTGCAGTTGGTACCATGTCTGGGGCAGGAGCAGCTTGGTTAGAATCCATGCTAACTACTTACGATGCAGAAACCATAGAATCAAAAGATGGTCAGGTAGGTGAGCAATCTGCAGAGGAACCCCCAGAATTAAAGAGCCCAGATGATGCTGGAGATACTTCAAGTGTTGACAGTTTTGCAACTGTGGTCCCAACACAACAAGAAGAAGAAGACTACCAAGAGAAAAGGATGGCAGAAGTATCTTCCATGTCTTCTTCAATGCATTCAGATATTACCAGCAGTCAGGGACCTGCAGTTCCTACCTTTGCCATAGATGTCACTAGGGACCAAGAGGTGCCTATGTCACCAGATGAGGATATATTTCACATGTCACCTGATGAAGAAGTTATTCATAAACCAACACCAGAGCTGAAGAAGACATCCTCAGAAGAAAGACAGAGTTCAGAAACTAGTTCTTCACCCGGCCATGCCGACAGTGGAAAGTTCTTCAGCAAAACTGGTGAACATGATACTGGATCTGTTGCATCATCCCTTAATGAATTTGAAACACTGGAACAGATTTTCCATGCTGAAAAGACTGGGGGAAGATCCAGTATAGATTCTAGTCATGGCTCTCCAAAGTTCACCCCAAGAAGCACAGAAAGTGATGCCATATCTATCACCTCTTCTTTGTCTGAGTTTGAGAGGCTGGAGAGGGAAATAACACTTCATGGTTCAAATGATAAGATCAAGGGGAGTGCAGAATCTTCTGGATCTGTGTCTTCCCTAAATGAGTTTGAGGCTCTTGAGAAAGAATTGATGCAAGACAGTGAAAAAACCAAAATTGTGAAGCCATTAGAAGGAGGCAGTAAATATTCATCCTCCTCATCCTTACATGAGTTTGAAGCACTGGAAGATGAGGCAAGAATTGATCATGAATTGGAAGCAGAAGCACAAAAGATTGTTTCAATTCTAGAATCTGGTGAATTAATGTCAGAACAGTCGAGATTAGAGCAGGAACAAATGAACATTTATACGATGGGTCCAAAGCCAGAACAGAAGCCCACCACCGACAAGCCACTCTCACCTGAAAAACCAAGTCCAGCTAGTGATGATGATGGTGCACGCACTATTGAAAAAATCATTCAGGAGGCATCTATGAATGTTGAATTTTTCAGTCAGTTAGAAAGTTCTGCTGAAGTGGACCGCGACTCTCTTGATGGAAGGGATGATTCCTTGCATGAGGACCAGACGGTTCCGCCAGATTCCATAATGTTGATGTCCACAGAATCCATTGAATCAGTTCAGAGGGCACCACAGATAGAAAGATATGAAACCGATTCCTTAACAAGCCAGGAAAATATCATGGAGCGCTCAGTTGACTCCCTTTCTAGTCAAAATTTAATGGAGCAGTCATTTGACTCCATAAGAGATATGATGCAGAAATCTTCCGAGTCGGGGGACTTGATGCAGAGGTCAGCTGATTCATTGGGAACTGGCCCTGAAAATGTGATGGAAAGGTCCTCCGACTCCCTGGAACCTGAAGATCAGCAGGATGCCAGTAAGGTGGAAGCATTTGACACAGATTCCTTACAGGGGCAAGAACCCCCTCCTGACCTTCCCAGCCCACAGACTCCAGAAGATGAACCTATGGGTTCCCCATCACCTGATGATGAAAGATTCCAGACCCAAAAATATCAATATAGAAGTCACAAAACACAAAGTTATGGCTACCATGCTTCAGTCACCCATTCAGCGTATAATGTTAGAGACCCTTATATTGATTATGAAGGAAATTACGGTCAAGATTCACTGTACAGAGAAGACTATGACAGTCAAGGCAATTACTATGCCAGTGCATTTGAGCCTGACCCTTTAAAACCATTACCAGCAGAGCCATACAAGGACAAAAAGAAAGTTTTTACTATGGCCGAACTGGAGGAGATGAGAAAAGACAAACAAGAGAAAAGACAAAAAGAGGCACAAGAACCCTCTCCTGAAGATCCTGATGAAATAGTAAGCACAGCCACCACTTCACAGACCACCTCCCCGACTAATGACCCCCTGTCCACTCCCGCAGAGTCCCCCTCCTCCCCTCAGGACCGCCACGTAGCCACGAGGTCTGTCAGCATGTCAGCAGCCAGCCTAACACACAGCAGTATGAGCAGCAGCAGAGGTAGTACTAATTGTGCGCTGCTCCCCCACCCAGCTGTGTGCCTCTGTGCATGAACTAATTACGTTTGTGGTTTCCATTGCGTTGCAGGGCACCTGCACTGTCATGTGTACATAGCTCTTCCGTTCACAGGTTTAGTTCTGTATTGCCCCCCTGCTTTGCTATGTGGACTAATTGTCTCTATTTTTTCATGGTAATTTTTTCAGGTTTTTTTTAAACTTAAAATTGTTTATATTTGATAGTACATCTTACCTTGTCTGCATGCCAAAAGTGTGCTTTTACTGATGTTTTTATGCCATTTTCATGTTTTTATCTTGATTTACTGATTTGCTGTTTCCCTTTTTCATTGTCTCTTTATGTTGCCAATTAATAAATGTTGTGGTTATACTTTATGTATTGAGTAGATTTTTCATAGAGGTTTTTTAATCGTGATATGTATTTTGTAGAAGCTTATTCAGGATCACTTCAACTTGACAACAGCAAAGTTATTTAGCAGTCTTAACTTTCAAACATTCAAATCACAACTGTGTATGTAATAACATATAGATTTTGAATGCTTATTTAATGCCTTTGATGGAAAGTGAAGTAGAGTAGACTGGTTAATATCTGATAATAACTTATTTAGATGAAATACTATACTGTCTGTGATACAGCATTGTTGAAGTATGCATTTTGCTGTACTGTTACTTCTTGCCTAATCAAGAAAGATTCAAAACTAGGTTTTAAACATCATTCATTGATATCCTAGGGCTTTAACCAGTTGGGGTGAATAGTTTATTGCCAAGTTGAATTGATCCTGTGCCTAGTGAATATTTTTGAATCTACCAATTTTAAATGCCTTTTAACTGCTTCTAGATTATATTGAACCCATTTATACATGTACATGTATGACGTGTTATCATAGTAAATAGTATTCATTACATACTAAATATTTATAATGAATTGAGTAGTTTGTTTAATAAAAGAAAACATAAGGAAGTTTCTTGATCATTCTGTTATTTTTTTCCAGTTCAAATATGTTCAATAAGTAACATTTGCATAACTTTCCCTTTTAGAAACATACTCAACTGAGGTCCCAGAGGGAGCCACATATCAAGGTGGATACTTGTCTCTCTTTGCATCCTGTGATGTGTGAAAGCAGTTATGTGATGACTGTATTTGTTATGTGATGACTGTATTTGTATTGTCCTTTGCAATCAGTATTTCAGATTTCTAGAAATGTGTCTAACTAGGAGCGCTCTTTCTTTTCCTCTCTACACGTCTCTCCCTCTCTCTCTCTCTCTCTCTCTCTCTCTCTCGCATGGTTGTTTCAATTTTAAATATTATGATGCTAGTATCTTTTAGGCATGTTTTGGCTTAGCTGAGCATTATTTGCCATTTGCGTGACATTAAATCAGCCTGTATGTTACACATGGTGTACAAGCCTGTATGTTTATATATTCACTCTAAAAATAAGAGAATCGTTTGTCATTCAGTGCTTTTCAAGAGCTGTCATTATGCTGCATGTGACTTCATGTGTTTTCTCATGTTTCACTCTACATAATGTTTATGTGCTGTTTTGCTTTATTCATTATTGATTATGTGGAAAACCCTAAGCTTTTTGAACATGAAATAATGAAGGCTGTTATGACATGGTTCTTGTCTAAGAAATCACTTATGTTTGTTAGAAGCTTTGGCAACCTCAAACCTCAGAGAATGGTAGCCTGTGACATGCAAAGACCAACTAATACATTATACATGAAGAACAGGTTGAGAATGAAGAAAAATAGGGGATATCTAAATTTTTAATCTCAGACATTAGTTGGAAACATGGTTCAGGCTTTGTGATGAGACTACTATTTTTCACATTATGGTTTAGGGAAAAAAAAGATTCTCTTTGTATAAAAAGTTCCCAGTTCTGTTCATATTTATATCATATCATTTCGTATACTTTTGAGTTTATGACATGCATTAATATCTTGAGCATTTATATTCATGCATTTTCGTGTTTTGTTTTTCTTATATTTGAGTTGCTTTGTCTGTCTTCTTCAGCCTCAGGTGGCGCAAGGGTGTCTTTTGATCAGTATCATTATCCCTCGTTTGACGAGGATGACATGCGGGAGATAGACCCTACTGAGCATATGGAGGCCTTGGGACAAGGCATTCCTGAATACTATGGTACAGTACTCACAACTGACACTGTTGGTTCTATATATTGCACCGTACAAAGCAAGCACATTATTTCATTCAGAAATGTCTTTTTGTAACTTTGTTTATCTGTTTTGTCTGGAAAACCTTTTCTGTAATCTTTTGAACAATTTGGGATAAAATGTTTTTGGTTGGTTGATCTGAATTTTTTATTATTTCCTGTGTTTCAAGGCATTTTTTTTATGTAGAACTGTCTTATTCATTTGATTTTTAGCATAAATTAAAAAAAAAAAAAAGATTTGATAAAACAGTATGTCATTTGTGGGTACTGGTTGTTGATGAGTGTTCCATTTTCTTGGTCTAGGCTACAGCAGTACAATGCGGGGACAGGAGACGAGAGAAGAAGAAGATTATGGTTATCAATATGAAGGTTCAATTTATTTGCTCATTTCTTTCTTTGTTTGTATTCAGTGTTGTAACCTGATGTCTTTTCTCTTTAATCTTTCCTTAGTCGATGGTGCCCTTGGAAACCGTTGGAATCTTCTGTGTGTGATATTTCTTTGATTGCTTGTATATAAATGTTTTTTGTTCTTTATTGTGTACCGGTAGTTACTGTTTATTAGAAATCAGTCATTTCTTATTTTAAATTAGAGCTCTTTTGTTGTACCATGCCTATGTACATGGCTATCAACCTCCCCTTAGCTAATAAATGAGGGCATATTTATCATTCCTTGCATAGTAACTGGAATCCATACCTCCACTGTACAAGTATGACAAAATATATGTAATATGTCATCATGACAAAGCCTAAGCTTAATCTTGAGGCTGTAGGGCCCAGGTGCCTTAGTAGTTTAAAATAATTTTTGTGGTGTAACTATCACCCCATTTTTGTCTTTTTTTATCTCACAGCATGTCATCAGGCCATGGCACTGCATATACACAACCAGCTCTTTATAACACAAAAAACAATTAACACCATAATCAACAATTTATTTGTGTCAATATTATGTTGTATTTCTTTGAAATAGAATTTGATTTTAGTGCTGTTTTTAAATAAAAGCTGGAATATATTTAAGAAGTAATCTTAATCTAAAAATTGGTTTACTATTCATTGATTTTGTTTACTATTCTTGACCAGTGTTATAAGAAAGGTTTATAGCAGCATGACATCCAACAATTTAACAAAAAAGACTTTTCATAATTCTAAATTAAGCTTTTTCATGCTTTGTAAGTTACGTAACATGCTTAGAATTAATCTCAATTTTCATATGATATTATCAGTTGAGCAAGTATTGTAAATGAAAGTTTGGCTTAATTCAATCAGAGTTTCTATGATTTATAATAGTAGATTAACACTAAATTTTTTCTAAACTTTTTAAATTCTGGTAATGTTATATTTTCTTTATCATGTTAAAATAGATGTGGCTATTGTATGTATTGACCAGTATAATATTTACAAATCTATATGTAGTATTCACCTATGTATTGTCTTATTTTGTAGACCAAGTGGTACCTGAGGCAGGAGCCGAGGGTGGAGATGATGATGAAGAACAAGAAGCCAGGTATTTGATTTAATATTCACAATCAGGCACACATTACACTGTGTAATGTTAGCCAGTCCAAAGCAATCAAAAAGTAGACTCAGCATCAAATTAGTAAAAAAATAAAATAAATAAGTGCTTTAGTCATTTCAGACTAGTCAAAATTTTAATAGCTATTTTGCATTAATTTCCAAATCTTTCAACTTGATCTTTGGACCAGTAAATTTTTATTTTGGGCTAGTATTTGTCCAAGTTGTGTAACAGTAGAAGTGACCAGTCAGCTTAAATTTTGAAGGAACACACTGCTGTTCAGTTGGATATAGTTTCAAAGATATGTAACTTGGCCTAAATCTTGCAAAATATTTAAAGATAATTTTTTTTTGTGATATTACTATATAATTGGGTATGATATGTTTTGGACATTAAAAGGTAATTTTCACGTTTGAGAAAACTAGAAAATTGTTCTATTTTCACTAGCGCACTCCCAAGTTCATTCAAGATTTCACTTATGGACTCCACCTGAAAAACTTACTTACAATCATATTTAGTTTACTTTTAGTTACTGTCTTAAATTTTTCTTGTAAACATATCAAGGGAACCAAAAAATTTCCATTAATGAAAAGACTAAGGCAAGACCCTATTCAATATTGAAATACCTTCCTCTATATTTATCATAATATGACATATAGATTGGCATGAGTCAAGCATTCATGTGGGTGGGTGGTGGGTAATTGATAGTTGCCACAGTATTATATTTACTTAAGATGATCAATATTATATACAAGAAAGACAAGTAAATAGATAGATAGATAGATAGATAGATAGATAGATCATTTATTCCAACATGAGCAGAACTTACAAAGGATTTATACAACTTCCAGAATACACTAAATATATATATATATATATAATCAGCATAACAAAAACAAATTTATGATTTCACTTGAGTTGGTCAAGTCAAGATGGACATGATGCATGATAATAAAATGATAACACAATATTAACATCAGGGAAATAGTTTACAGTCTGTCAAACAGCACTAGTCGCACATGGGTCTGCCTCTTCGAAGATGTTCTACTGAGCTAAAATCTAACGCAGGATGCTCCTTGCCTACAAAGGTTGCCACAGGACAAAAACACAAACCATGTTCCGCTGTTTGAATATTATCAGTACCACAGATACAATTCTGATCCTCACTCTTGTACCCAAAATTTCACAGAGAGGGTTCTTCTGAAAAAGTGACCTTTTTATTTCTTTTTTTGACCGAACTTGAGAAATGGCATAGAACCTTTATGTATGACAGATTTTGATTCTCAGTAAAATTTTCCAACCAAGGATAGTTCTTTCTTACCCCCCCCCCCCCCCCACACACACACACACTCCCCTTGCCTTCAGGTTAATGGTAATTTTCTCACTTTCCAAGTCATGTGACATTCTTCACATTTATCTCAGTTTTTATATGAAGTTGTTGGTTAAACTAATGTTTGAAGTCATTATGGCAAAACTCATCAGAGTTTCCATTATTAACAAAATTAGATCAGCATTATATTTTTCTTGACATCTAGTATCATATCTGTATTCTCTTGCAGAGTCAACACCAAGAAGTAGGTGCAACCCAGTATGTTATACTAGCTGTTTGTATTCTCTTGCAGAGTCCACATGAAAAAGCAGGTGCATTCCAAGACAGTACAACAGTCAGATGGACAACAACAAACCACAGTGACAGAGACAACAGAGGTCACCCAGGATGACAGCTTAGAAGATGCGCCTGATGAGCTTCGACAGGAAATGCAGCGCGTCCTGGACGACTTCATGGAGGGAAAACCAGGCAGTGAACAAGGCGGAACTTCGGTGTAACCCAGCAGACAACCTGTATATGTAATATTCTCTCTGTGCCATTGTGGATTTATAAAATACAACATAGACAGGCAAATACTTATGTCAAATAAAATTAGATTGTTCTTCGAGATTTAATATTAATCTGATGTCAGCTTATTGAAGGATATTTTTGTCTAAAGCAGTTTTGGAAGATACTGAGGTGGATGTTTTGTATTGGATCACTGTTTAATTACCAATTAATGGATTTTAATATTTAATAATTGTACTTTGATTTGATCAACACAGATAAGAATTTGTTGTCTGAAAAAATAAAACGAGTCTTGATACAAGTAGTAGAAGCGTGGGTCAATTGTAAAATTTGATGTGACCCTTTTTAGTTGTAATATTTATTCAGGGAGATTCCTGTCAGTAACATCAATTGCCCCACAACAAGGAATCTTTCTTTTTAAACACTGCCTCTAAAAGGGTGTCACCCAGGGACATTTGATGTCATGTAGATTTGGTGCTGACATATTATCACGAGATGAGTAGGGAGTCTGTGTGTAGAGCTTAAACTGAAAAGTGTGACGTTTGAGGTTTCACCAAATGATAATGACCTTTTTGACTTTAAAACTTTGACTATTTTGAGAAGTCACAGTTTTAGATTTTGAAACTTAGTGTGCAACATGGTATCTTTTTTGTATGGCTTTGTGGTAAGATCACTTTTATATCTCCAGGATTTTTTTTTAGTATAAAAGAAGAAAGAAGGGCTGGATTAAGAATGGTAACTCTGAACTTTTGGAGGAGACGGATAAGCCACAAGTTAAATCAAGTGTGGTCTCTACTGTTTTCATTAACTATGTTCCAATGCTATGCCATGTGTAAAAGCGGCAAGTCAAATGTAGCATTTGTTAATGTGGAGTATAGATGGCTACTAATGTTTAAATATAAATGGTTTGTGTTATTTTTTTCTTTACATCTAAAATTCTAGCTTGCCAGAAAATAATTTGTGTGCCTTTGAATTTTTGTTTGTGTTTACAATAACAGTAACCTGCTTTATAAATGTAGTGGACTTGTGACTTCCATGGAGGTGTTATGAGGATGGATTTCAGTATGAGAACAACACACTGTGTGTTGGCTATTANGACACGTAAAAGCAATTTACTACAGCTGTAGCTGTGCGCGTTTTACGTATATCTGCGATGACCTGCCTGTTCATATATGAAGTGTTTTTGAAGTCCTACTCAAAGTAGTCACCAAGATTAATTTGATGCGTAATTTACGAGTATATTAAGATGAGTAAACCGTTTTGAGAAACAGTTCCCAACCGATAAGGAGACCACCCTGTACTAGACATTTTTACCTTGCAAGGAACCTTATCTGTAAATAAGTAAGCAGCCGAGCACGTCTAGGTGCATCTGCTCTTACAGATTAAGGATCGTCATCCATTTTTATCATCATTTAAAAAAGTCAACTGACAACAATAAAGAGTACACTTTTTGTAGACACTCCCCATTTTAGAGAGTACATGTACAAGGTGAAAAGCATAAAATGATTAACTTTGCCACCATACCTCTGGGGGGGAGGGGAGATCATTTTAATTATTATTTTCTTCCAAAAGCGTTCAGAGGGCATTAATGTCCACCCCCACCCCCCACCCCCCCCACCCCCCACCCCTTGCGTACGGTTTGTAGACTTGTGAAAATGCTGATAAAAATGGATGACCCCCAATGAATTCTCGCGCGGTGCCCTTTAGACATTTAATATGTGGTTAGGGAGCGAGTATGATGTTTCACCAAATCGTAAATACTTTTTGACATTGGAATTATTTCGATGCTTGATGTCCATCGTGTTTTTTTTTTCTTTATTGCAAGTATTTTTATTCCGCAACCTCCTAAGAGAATAAGACGGCAAAGTACGCCAGGATAACGGTATAGCTTCATATGTCCCAGTAAAACCTTCACATTGACGCGGAGATTTTGATGTATGATTCATTTAACAAACGTAACATTAAGGTGTGAATAATGATTGTCATATACTGTAGGTCTTTAATAAAACATAAGGACATCAGAGGAAATTAATTTTAATGTATCAAAGTATACAAAGAGATATATCCAAAGAGATAGGGGCTCTTACAGACCAGAGTGTAAGCAAAAGTTAATTAAAAGGCGGCATAATTAAGGAAAATAAAATGTTTTCGTGCCGATCGACCACTTGACGATGTGCAGCATGAAAAATTGCAACGTGAATATAACTCAATAATTGGAAAATGTTTGTTTTTAAAATTTCAGTTTTTATTGTTCAGTTAAATTATGTTAAAAAGGAGACCGACGTACAAATATTGTTTTGTTGTAGTTAACTTACACTACGAGCACTGACATCTTACGTCTACCCATCCATTTTCTCGTAATTTTTAAAGTCGTCGACCACTTTGATAATTTTTAATTTTGATAAAAAACAAAAACAGGAAAACCATAATGCAGGCACCCAAGTGACGCGAGGACGGTATTACTAGTTATTTCACCATTGATTATGTGTTATATATCTTTTGGAGAGAGACAGTGATCTTTCCAGAAAAATGCATTTAATTCATCCCAGCTGTAAGATTTGGGCGGCTCCTCTTGAAAGTGCAGGCGTTCACAGAGGTGACAGAAAGCACGGTCTGGAAGCTGACGATACTCGTTCTTCCACTCAAGATATTTGACATATTTTTCTGGATTCTTATCAAGCATGTGTAAATATTCAGCTAATTCTTTAGGTGAGTTGAAGTCATCGGTGTTGATATGCCATTCAGGACGGATTCCTGTCCTCGTGTAGTTTGTATTCCCGCGAGTAACGGCTACAATATCTATGTTCACGGTTTTATAAAACTTTTCGGTCACGTAATCCAGAGATATGCTATTTTCGAATGCTAAATAAAATTTGTAGTCTCTCGCTAAGAGGTCCAAACACGTGGTCTCCCACCCCCAACTACCAGACCGTTCACATTTCAGGGGACCACACGCTCCATATATATCCACTTCTATGTATTTCTGGAGTTCTTTTACATAGTCCATGCGGCGTGAAGGTGTTTTGCAGTTGGATACCATCCATGCCACCAGTTTCTTTTTTGATTTAGTAATACTAAAGTAATCTTTTTTGATAGGAGTGTCTCTCTTGGCTATCTCTGTGTACGGCAACAAGACGTCTGCATCTGCGCGGTAAACCATCGTCCAGTTGAAGAGTCCATCCCATGATTTGTCAAGCGGCCGGGAGTGACAGGGGCTCTCCCCCTCCACCCAAACCCACCGCTGGCTAGGGTGACGGTACGTTGGACCTGTCTTTGGGGTGGATTGCCCATTTAGAAAAAATACCACGTCTGCTTGATTCACCAAATTTCGGTCTTTTGTAAGCTTGCACGCTTTCACTGGACAGTGCCTCACCTCCATTAAGTCGTAGAACTTTGATCCAAGAGGATTCCAATTCCAGTCCCAGAATAACAGCGTTTTGTTCTTTAGTTTTGACAGTGTTAGTTCATCGTGTTTCTGTGGAAGGGTTTCTGGATGGATGGCTATCTGGGCCGGGGAGTGGAAATCAGTTTTTTGCCTGTTTGGACGCCTCGATAAATCTGGAAATAAAATTGTACACATGAGTACCTATTAAGACAAGTCTTTAATAAAGCATGCTGGGTTCTTTGACGAATTTGACAGCTGTACTTGAACCTTTCTGACCTCGGGTTGGTCCTGGGTGACGTCATGATGATATACAAATAAAGACTTTGGCTGAGGTCAATTTATTTATTTATCATTATTATTTTCATTTTTCTATTTATTGTAGTTCTGAATAACAACATAGATAAAAAGGCAAATTTCTATAATTTTAATTCATATAATTTAATACCTGAATACCAATGTCATCCAAGACAACGTTAAAAGTTTTTGATGAAGTTTTCAGGGTAGGTCAGAAATGGGCCAACGTTAAAAGTTTTTGATGAAGTTTTCAGGGTAGGTCAGAAATGGGCCAAGGAACAAATGATTTTAGTTTGGTGGTGGGTGATACGGATAACCTATTTATAACAGAAAAACGCGACAGGCTTCGGTGGTCTTTCTTCTATCCTGTCACGTATACAATTCGTTATCTGTCCTTTCATGAATATTTTTAAATACAACGTGCGTTATCTTCTATCGCATGATCATACGTATTCCCTCCCATTGCAATACAGAACTACTTGCACAATCACCACAGCGCGGCTCATATATATAGGCATAGGGCCTACTACTATTCGTGTGACTGTGGCGATGTGCGGTCTAGAGGTGTTTTTGAATTGTTTTTGAAATTTTTCTCTCTGTGTGTATTCAAATAATACTCTTCTACTACATAATCATCGACGCTGCAATTAGTATTATAACACAAACACTTAAAATATTAAAGTGGAAATCCTGACACTATCAGCGCTCATGTTTTTGGAAAGACTGGAACAAGGACTAAATTTACGACACAAAAACTATCTGACACCCGTAACAGTTACTACTGGGATATCTTTATCCCCATAAACCCTTATCTGAAGGAACCATCTCACAGGGATTTTCAGCGAAGGTATCTAGCCTATTCATCGCTCGTAGTAGGGACTCACCAAAAAGCATCTTGCCGGTTTCCATACTCGTTCAAAAACAAGACGTCTCTCAAGAAGTCTTTGTGTTGGAGAAGCAATGTTACTTTTCGTCTGTTCATTTTAATTACTTAATATGTTCGTTTCAAAAATTATATTAAACGTCTACCCAGAAAATCCATTCTGTTCAGTACGCCCTCAACGTATACAACATGCAAACATCCAGGAGAAAAATTCCATTACATGAAAATTTAATACACATTAGAACTATTTCTATTTATTTTTAATGTGTAAATGTGTCCCAGTTGAGCGCTTAGCGTCGAATGAACACTGCATTTCTCGGGTGACAGTGTATTATCTCACACATACACGTAAATTGATTCTATATCTATGATTTTATTAATAATTAACGATGAGGTTTCAGTTCCCTTGGCAGAGGTTTGCTCTCTCTGAGTGATTTTTGTAGTTGATATAAAAATTTAATGTTTCCTGCTCCTTGACTGACGTCCATATATCCGTGGTGAATATTATGTTTGGTGACTGCGCTATAGGTATAATATTATAATAATTACAATATATTTAATTAAATTTATCTAAACCCCATAAAAATGTACAGTAAAATTTACATAGTAAAAGACAATACAAGTTATGAAGATAATGAATTTCCAAAATAGTAAATAGATCGTGGAAAAGTCTTTGTGGAGACAGTCGGCGGTCATACGAAATTGTGCGGCTTCACGGACTACTTTTAATATTTTTATAATCTTAAGCACTGTAGGCCGTAGCAATAATGTGCGTGCTACTGCGCTATTCCCGTACGGGGGACTTTATCTTGCGAAACGGAGTTGCGGAGATTCTCTTGTGTCATTTGAACGGTCGCCGCACAGCTATCGCAAGTTTGCCACTCGCTGTCCGTTTATCATATCTCGGTTGTTTTCTCGCTTTGCCTGTGACATTCATATCATGACTCATGAACAAAAACATATGAGCAACTCCATAGGTCTTTCTTCACGTGAATGGTTACAAGGAAAAAACCTACCCTCTGGTAACAGAGACCAATTCAAATACACTACAAAATCACAGAGTCAACATTTTTATAGCAGACCCCTGTGGTCAGAGAGTAGAAAAAACTGTCAAATGTTATCTAACAGGGTTCACTAATGGATTCTATTTATTTATATGTGAATAAACAACATATTGCTTTGTCTAATTCCCTCACGTGATGTTGGTTTATGTTATCCTTGGTGTTCTCTGATCTCATATGAACTCAAACTATGGGAACAAAGGTGATCACTGTCATTCGGCTTAAATAGGACACTCATGAGGTCCGTTTCACAAGACAATTTTAGTGTGAGAAAGGCACTGTGTCAGAAATTTAACTGGTCGATGCAATAAAAATGATTCGTGTCTGTTTCGGGTTTATCAAGTTTAAGATCGAAAGGGAAACTGGTTTGCGGTTTGAAAGCCACTCCCGATCAGGGGAGAGGTTTGATGAAGGTCTGCTCTATCCTACTGGTCTTTTATTTAGCTGTTACCAAAGGTATAAAAAATTTAACGTATTTAATTTTGTAAAGCCATTCCAGCTTACGATGATTCTGAGAAATATTCATTAAGAAATCAAATACGAATTGTGCTCACAAACTCCAAACGGCGCTCTTATTTGGTATATTAATGAAGACCCAACGAAGACACGTCACCCGCGTCTGTTAAAACGATTGCCTTCGTGTCGGCCCTTCTCATGTACTGGCACTGCGTCGTTTGCGAAATCTGCCTAATAATAATAATGACAATGACTTAATTCTCATAAAAAGATGTATGTGGTTGACAACAAAATAGTAGTTGGAATACACAAGAATATAAAAAATATAAGCACATGCGTGCATAAATACAATAATGTACATTTAATTTAGCCACGAGAGATTAAACCCCACCATAATAGTGCGAATGTATCTTCCTTATAGAGTTTTTTTGTTTTGTTTTTTTTTTTTTTGTCGGGTGAATCACACTTACATACATTAAGGGAAGTGGTGTAGTATCTTAGTATTAAACAAACCCTATAGTCAAAATTTTTCTGTCTTGACATTTAAACAAATGATGAAATGACTAAACAAAAAAGCGTTCAGGCTTATAAAGGTTGCCTTATCGAAAACAATCTTGAAAGTTCGATACGACACGTCTTCACTGCCGCTGTATGTAAAAGTGGCAGACTGAGGTAGTAAGATCAAATGACTTAGTACGTAGACCCATTGAACAACATACAGGGTAAGCAACCCCTTATGACACGCGTCAAATTCAGTCTTATTTCTTAATAGCTTCGTAGCTAAGACTGATATTGGCCTTCGACTGAAGATTTTGCAATTCCTTTTGCAATTTTGCTTCTGTTTCATGTCTTATAAACGGAGTAGGCGTTTGCAAATTCGAACCTCAGATTTGTGAGCGTGCATGCCCAAATTAACGACTCGTGTCAAGTAATATTGTGATGAGGCGATCATAATCAATAGTGATAAATAGCAGGGAAGAACAAGGTAGCTTCATTTAGGTGACTCTTACGCAATAGCCGGGTTATTAAGTTGTAAATCTCCCTATAATTATTTCGAAGGGGATGTGCGTTGCACATGATGTGTAAGGGGGACTAAATTAAAGACCTCTTATTATACATTCATGTAATGGTGAACACGCATCTCAGCCCGCAATTATGTAAACAAGAATATCAAAAGAGCACGTATTTTTGCTACTAAAAGTATTAAACAGCACCGGTTGTTGTTTAGGATTTACAGGTGTTATCAAGGTTGATTTAAAAATCACACTGCTGAGGTGATTGTAAAATATTTTCAAGATAAAGTTTTACCTCTAGAAAAAATTCATTCATCGAATCGTGTCAAGGGTGGATGCATGTACGACAAATCACATGAAAGACTTAGCTTATAAATCCAGCATTTATGCTTCAAAACCAAGATGTTTCCAGTGACCCGTTCAGTGACCCAGGTCACCAGATGGTTTCCCAGTCAATTGCACGGATGAAATAAAAGCAGTTGTATATTATACGTAGATGATAGTTAATAAGTATTTCAAGGTGCGAGAAATTATTCATAAAGGTGTTTCTTTCTCGGTTATTTTAAATTACATCAGGATATATAGAGAGAGTTTGTTCACCGTTTTGAAGTATTTATTACTCAACGAAAAGCAAAGTTTACCATTTTAATGATGTTATATCCTTCTGAAGTCCTGCGTTTATTTCTCTTTTGTTCATTTTAAATGGAATAGTGAGCTTTTCTCAAGTTATGAATATTAGTAATGACAATATCTGGTTTTCATTTGTAGTGATAATATTTGAGGAAGAGTTCCATCCTTCATTCAGTGCCAATCAAGATCTGCAGGGGTCGGGTATATATGCTACTCTGGCGTGCGCCATATACACGTGTACTTCCCTGTATTGTGAGGATAATAATAATAAGGGTGTGACAACCACCGAGAAAAAGCTTTGTCCAATAATACACGTTATATACAAAAAACAGCTTAAGCAACCTGTCTACTTAACTATCAGGATTGCTTAAGGTTTGTGATAATATAATGCACACACTCTCTTGTCTTATCTGTATGCCTATTAACCCTCTTCTAGTGCTGCAATGCAAGTAGTGAGTAAATGATAAAGATTTTCATGGTTAAAACCGAGAAAGTACCAGTAGATAGGGGCCTACGTCCTTTAATAACAAAGCTGAAATTAAACTTAAAATTTCTACACACAACCAAATTATTTGATATTATTATCCAAGTAAATTTTCTAAACCGTATTGGCAATAAATAAATAAATAAATAAATAAATAAATAAATAAATAAATAAATAAATAACGTATTCGTATTTCCATAGCCCAAAAAGAATGAGTTCAGCGTTCAACTTAAAGGTACAATACTCTCCGTATATCATTGCATCTAATTCGCATTGACTTAACAAGGGCACAAGTATAAGCTTAATGTAAAAACTCACCTATTCACTAAGATATATGGGATTATTATGGAAATCTGTGCCTGGTTTAATGTCAACCTCCTTCATCATGTCACGAAAGGTTACCCCGTGTGTAGACTTTGTTTTATTTTATTACAATGGTTTCATCTGTAGGCCTATTTAAAATCTTTGTGTTTTGAAACTATACGTGATTACTGCAGATGTGAGGCTTATATACATATTTGACCCCCCCCCCCCACCGTCTCTCTCCAGGCCTGATTCCTTCAACAGGTGTAGTGTACATCGAATTCTCACCTGAATTACTGTGTCCGACTTGTTCACTGTGTTCAAGTTCTTCCCGTTTTAAAACTGCACCATTTCCTTTACTCCTGTGACTCCATAGAAATATCAGGATGAAGAAGCCAAGCGGTATTAGGAACACGACACGTTTGACAAGGCGGGATATAGAAACCATTTCAACTTCTACCTGCCGAGTCAGCACCATTAAATGATAAAATCGTTCCTCTCCTCGCAATGAAGCGACCCACACGTGTCACCGTTTTAGCTTTCGTGAACGTTAATTTAACTGTGGCCGCGCATGTCTCTCTCTGCAAAATTTGCAGAAAGATGGACTGATCAATCAGAAGCCGGAGTGAGGACCATGGCAACGAGTTTGTTGACAGAGTAACATTGACATCGGTATATTGTGGTAACAGTAGATGTGTATTTCACGATAATTCTGCCGTGTATTCGAGAATGTATTCCATCTGCGTTGACTGAGAGCGCACCTGCTGACTGAGTGAAGGGGCAACGTGTACTGTTCGGTCGCAGTATGCAAATAAAACCCTCATACACCTAGTTCGCACACAGACGCAGATTGTACTATATTATACAAGCCTTTGGCGTCAATAGAAATCAATATTTCGCCAAACAGTTGTAATATGTCTTTTGTTCGCCATTGTTATTGTTCGTATTTCACCTTTGGAGGGGTTAGGGGGAAGCGAAGCGGGCTTGTGCTCTATATAACAGTAGAACGAGTGCATGAAATAATAAGATCAGGAATACCAGGGCCTTTGTTTTTTAAACATGACGAGAAATAGGGACTTTTTAGTAAATACTCGTGCACAGTATTCACATCTGGCATTAACTAGGCCTTTGCCCTATATATTACACTAGCATTGTCTTTGTCCTTTGTTTTATGTGTTATATTTACAAAGGGAGGTGAGGGCAATTTTTGTGCTGTCCACTTTGACAAAATCCTGGATCGGCCATTTTTGATGACAATGTAAAGTACCCAACGTGACATGACAACTCACAGAGGAACACGATGGGCGATAAATGTTAGATAATAAATAAACATTGACATCATTATTGTTCACCTATTGTAATAAACTTTGGCAAATATAATCTGTGCTCCATCAATTTCGAATGTGTTTCAGTCTCATTGTATCGGGTACATGTATACATGTATTGTTTTAGAGGAATCTTAATGTTAAAAAAAATTGCATAGAAGGTATACAGTATATTCACTGAGCTGTACACATTTGCATGTTTCTGTTTGACGGCCGATTTCAATTAAAAGATGTTTGGATCCATTGGACATTCACAGTAAAATCTGGTACACAGCATATCCCCACAAGGTTATGAAGAGGAGTACGACATACATGTATCTCAACTGCCGCAATGGGTACTCTGCAGACGAAGAGAAGATTTGTAGATGTTTATTGCGGCAGAGAAGCTGATTATGTGATATTGTGCGAGGCACGTGCAGCGTTGACGTTGAATTGGTTTTGTTGGAGTCAGATTTGAATGAGAGTTTGCAAACTTTGTGAACAGGCTTACGACGAAGAGTGGGCGGTGGCAAATCCTGTGTTTGGGGCGGAACTCACTTTGGTGCTAAAATGCCATTGGTAGGCTAGTTCTCGACAGAGACCTCCCAGCGGGCAAATTATGTTGTTTTAACGTTGAAACAACGTTGAACCATAACGTTGATAATAAGTTGGATAAACATTGGATTTGAAAGTTGACTCAACGTCAGATAACAACATTGTATCAACCCCAGTTGTTAGACAACATACTTGCATGAAAAGACATTAAAATGACCTGAAATGTTTTTATTTTTGGTACAAAACACAGGTACACAATTATAACGTACACTGTAAAAACATCCAAGTGCCTGCTTTGTCTGATATTTTTAACCCATTTAGTTCCTAAGCATGTTTTGCACCTAAGCATGGTACACCCTAAAAACCTGGATGTGTTTAGGACATGTTTGATGGCTAAATATATGTAGGGTATATATGTATGGCATTTAAGTTAAAATTTCCTAGGTTTAGATTAATATATATATATAGTTATTTTCTTATATATAACAAAGTCACAGTCACCTCAGCCTGTCTATCTATAACAGGGTACCGAGAACTGTCAACTTTATTAACTTCACTCCATCACATTTACAGCAACTTATTCATCCTGGTGTTAGCTGACCTTGCAAGGAAGTTTATTGGAATGTATTTCTGAATAACAAGTTAAGAAAATTCACTAGTTCACTAAACACACAAAACAAAACTTTTACTTTAAAACACTTTTTTATTATTTTGATAAAGTTAGTTACAGTATTGATAAACAAAGTATCACGCTTTCAATAATTAATATTTTAAATTACAATCCATGTCTGCAAGGTTGTGTCAATGACCAAAATATAATGTTGAGGCAACGTCACATTATGACGGTGTTTTGACGTGGCTGGATCAACGTTGATTTTACGTTGAATTTAGGTAGATCAACGGCAATTCAACGTATCAACCTATTTTCAACGTTGATCCAACGCGACTATGCCTGCTGGGCTGAACCACGTCTAATACAGGGATATTCTGGAAACCACCTCCCCCCCTCTCACCCCCCCTCCCCACATTTTGCTAGAGGGTATCACAGGAACAATTGTTAGGCCACACTTTTTTATTTTTATGGATGACATCCTCTGGGTACCCCAAAATCGGTGCGAGAGGGCGAAAAAAAAAAGTCAAAAAAAAAAACTGCTTAAGTAAAGGAATGCTNTTTTTTTTTTTGTCGGTTGAATCACGCTTACATACATTAAGGGAAGTGGTGTAGTTTTTTAGTATTAAACAAACCCTATAGTCAAAATTTTTCTGTCTTGACATTTAAACAAATGATGAAATGACTAAACAAAAAAGCGTTCAGGCTTATAAAGGTTGCCTTATCGAAAACAATCTTGAAAGTTCGATACGACACGTCTTCACTGCCGCTGTATGTAAAAGTGGCAGAGGTAGATCAAATGACTTAGAACGTAGACCCATTGAACAACATACAGGGTAAGCAACCCCTTATAACACGCGTCAAATTCAGTCTTATTTCTTAATAGCTTCGTAGCTAAGACTGATATGGCCTTCGAATGAAGATTTTGCAATTCCTTTTGCAATTTTGCTTCTGTTTCATGTCTTATAAACGGAGTAGGCGTTTGCAAATTCGAACCTCAGATTTGTGAGCGTACATACCCAAATTAACGACTCGTGTCAAGTAATATTGTGATGAGGCGATCATAATCAATCGTGATAAATAGCAGAGAAGACCAGGGTGGCTTCATTTAGGTGACTCTTACGCAATAGCCGGGTTATTAAGTTGTAAATCTCCCTATAATTATTTCGAAGGGGATGTGCGTTGCACATGATGTGTAAGGGGGACTAAATTAAAGACTTATTATACATTCATGTAATGGTGAACACGCATCTCAGCCCGCAATTATGTAAACAGGAACATCAAAAGAGCACGTATTTTTGCTACTAAAAGTATTAAACAGCACCGGTTGTTGTTTAGGATTTACAGGTGTTATCAAGGTTGATTTTAAAAAATTACACTGCTACGTTTCCTGCTGAGGTGGTTGTTTAAAGTTTATAAATAAAAGTTTTACCTCTATGCTTCACTATGCTTCAAAACAAAAATGTTTCCAGTGACCCGTTCAGTGACCCAGGTCACCAGATGGTTTCCCAGTCAAATGCACGGATGAAATAAAAGCAGTTGTATATTATACGTATATGATAGTTACTAAGTATTTCAAGGTGAAATTATTCATAAAGGTGTTTCTTTCTCGGTTATTATAAATTACATCAGGATATATAGAGAGAGTTTGCTCACAGTTTTGAAGTATTTATTACTCAACGCAAAGCAAAGTTTACCATTTTAATGATGTTATATCCTTCTGAAGTCCTGCGTATTTATTTCTCTTTAGTTCATTTCAAATGGAATAGTGAGTTTTTATCAAGTTATGAGTATTAGCAATGGCAATATCTGGTTTTCATTTGTAGTGATAATATTTGAGGAAGAGTTCCATCCTTCATTCAGTGCCAATCAAGATCTGCAGGGGTAGGGTATATATGCTAATCTGGCGATTGCCAGATACACATGTACTTCCCCGTATTATGAGGATAATAATAAGGGTGTGACAACCACCGAGACAAAGCTTTGTCCAATAATACGCGTTATATACAAAAACAGCTAAAGCAACCTGTCTACTAAACTATGGGGATTGCTTAAGGTTTATGATAATATAATGCACGCACTCTCTTGTCTTATCTGTATGCCTATTAACCCTCTTCTACAGTAGTGCTGCAATGCAAGTAGTGGGTAAATGATAAAGATTTTCATGGTTATAATCGAGGACGTAGATACGTCCTTGTTATAACAAAGCTGAAATTAAACTTAAATTTTCTACACACAACCAAATTATTTGATATTATTATCCAAGTAAATTTTCTAAACTGGATTAAGGATTTATATGCAATAACTGAATGAATAAATAAATAAATAACGTATTTGTATTTCCATAGCCAAAAAGAATGAGTTTAGCGTTCAACTTAAAGGTACAATACTCTCCGTATATCATTGCATGTAATGGGCACAATAAGCTTAATGTAAAAGTTCACCTATTCACTAAGATATATGGGATTATTATGGAAATCTGTGCCTGCTCTAACGTCAACCTCCTTCATCATGTCACGAAAGGTTACCCCGTGTGTAGACCTTTTTAAAAAATTTATTACAATGGTTTCATCTGTATTTAAAATCTTTGTGTTTTGAAACTATACGTGATTACTGCAGATGTGAGGTTTATACATATTTGCCCCCCCCCCCCCCACACCGTCTCTCTCCAGACCTGATTCCTTCAACAGGTGTAGTGTACATCGAATTCTCACCTGAATTACTGTGTCCGACTTGTTCACTGTGTTCAAGTTCTTCCCGTTTTAAAACTGCACCATTTCCTTTACTCCTGTGACTCCATAGAAATATCAAGATGAAGAAGCCAAGCGGTATTAGGAACACGACACGTTTGACAAGGCGGGATATAGAAACCATTTCAACTTCTACCTGCCGAGTCAGCACCATTAAATGATAAAATCGTTCCTCTCCTCGCAATGAAGCGACCCACACGTGTCACCGTTTTAGCTTTCGTGAACGTCAATTTAACTGTGGCCGCGCATGTCTCTCTCTGCAAAATTCGCAGAAAGATGGACTGATCAATCAGAAGCCGGAGCGAGGACCATGACAACGAGTTTGTTGACAGAGTAACATTGACATCGGTATATTGTGGTAACAGTAGATGTGTATTTCACGATAATTCTGCCGTGTATTCGAGAATGTATTCCATCTGCGTTGACTGAGAGCGCACCTGCTGACTGAGTGAATGGGCAACATGTACTGTTCGGTCGCAGTATACAAATAAAACCCTCATACACGCAGTTCGCACACGGTATCAGATTGTACTATATTATACAAGCCTTTGGCGTCAATAGAAATCAATATTTCGCCAAACAGTTGTAATATGTCTTTTGTTCGCCATTGTTATTGTTCGTATTTCACCTTTGGAGGG